TTTTTTAATTTTAAAGTATTTAATTTTTCTAAACATTTTTCTTTTAGAGCTAATAATTTTGGGCATCCTCTGAATGAGGCTGGATGTCCGTATTGCTCGCAGCCCTATTGAAAATCCCCACATGGGAAACCACATGGGATCCTATGTCAAAAACAAATTTTCCAATGACAAATCCTCTTTCGCCCTATCGAAAATACCCACATGGGAAAGCATATGGGAATGCACAGAGGAAATGGAATACGATAAAGGATTTCACATGGCAAATGACATGAGGTTTGACGTGGGAATTGATATGGGAAAATTTTTCCAAAAAATAATAAAAGATTTCACATGGGAAATGACATGGCAAAATTTTTTGAAAAAAATGATAAAGGAATTCACATGGGAAATGACATGGGAAAATTTTTCGAAAAAATGATAAGATTTCACATGGGAAATGACATGGGAAATGACATATGAAATTTCAATATAGATGTTGATCGTCATTATAGTTTCATTGTTTCACCACCAGATGGTGAAAATATTTTCTCTCACAGTTGAGATCAGTCTGGAATACTATAAAAGCTGAGAGTCTAAGGCAGAAGTAAAGTAATTTTTTTTTTATTTTCAGATGAGTTGAAGTATTATTATTTGATATTTAATCAAATAATTAATTTTTTTTGTAAACTGCCGCCTGCATAAAGCAGCCAACTAAAAAATTCCCGAATAAAATCCTATATCGTTTCCTATATGTAAATCCATGTGAAATCTTAGGTTGAAATTTCAGAATCTATATGAAATCTTATATGATTTCCTATGCTTAAATCTATTTGTTTTATCATTTGGAAGAATGCACATGAAATCGTATTCCATTTCCCATGTGGATTCCCATATGGTGTCCCATGTGGATTCCCATATGCTTTCCTATGTGGGTATTTTCGATAAGGCGAAAGAGGATTTGACATGGGAAAATTTTTCAAAAAAATGATAAAAGATTTCACATGGGAAATGACATGGGAAAATTTTTCAAAAAATGATAAAGGTTTTTACTTGGGAAATGACATGGGGTTTGACATGGGAAAATTTTTCAAAAAAGTGATAAAGGATCTCAATTAGTATTTAACATGGTATTTAACATGATATTTGACATGGGATTTGACATAGGAAATGACATGGAGGAACCTCGTTTTGATATTTTCCTATGCCAATTCCTGTCCCAATTTCCCATGAGTTTTTATATGGGATCCCATGTGGTTTCCCATATGGGGAATGGGGTTTTACATAGTTTTTGACATAGGATCCCATGTGGTTTCCCATGTGGGGATTTTCAATAGGGAGTTTACACAAAAAGTATAAATTCTGTTATCAACCGAGTCTTCACCCTCAAAATTTACTTTACATTGCCCTGGGTCGTGGTTATCTTTGCATTTGACGCAGCGATAATTTCTGTTGCAGAATCTTGCTACGTGACCGAATCGTTGGCAATTGTAACATTGTAATTGATTATTACCTCTTATTTTTTCCCATTGAACTGATTGATTTAGGATTCTGACAATAGTTGTCAAATCTATACATTTACTATCGAGGGTGATTCCCACCAAGAATGCACTCCCCCCTTTATTGACTTTAAAGAAATCTTTTATATTTATTTTTTTAATATATACTAATTTTACGTTTTTTAATTTTAAACTTAAAAGTTCTCCCTTAACATCTTCGTGTGAGAAATCACCCTCGATTCCCTTTAATAGCCATGTTTTTATTTTTTCTTCCCTTGGGGTGGCTACATGGAACTCAATTTTATTTATTTTTAATATAGAGAATGTTTTTTTAAAATTTTCATAGTTGTTTAAAGTGAGGGCTATTTTTTTATTGTGCAAATTTTTGAAAATGAAGTCTCGGTTTTTAAAGTTAGATAACATTAATTCCGTTAAGACGCGAATATCGTTGTTAATAATTATGAAAGGCGGTACATTTGAATTTATTTTTAACTTACTACAGTCATCTAGGCTGGTGTCTGCATTCGAAGTTGTCGCTGCTGTTACTGCTACTGCTGGCTGTTGAATTATTGAGTGATGTAGTAATTGTTGTTTTTTACTTGCGTTTGTGTCGTTTTCTGCTTTCTCTGATCTTCTTCTTTTATTTCCACCCATTGTTTCTTTTGTGAGCTTTTTGTCGATTGTTGCTGTTGTTGTTTCCTCCTGTTGTTCTATTATATTCGTTTCCATTTCTGTTTCTTTTAATTCTTCATTATAGAATCCCCGGCATGTTTCGTTATCATTATTTTGGGTAGATTCATCTGTCTGTTGTGAAATTGTAGTTGGTTCTTCAATCTCTAGGTCACACTTTAATAATTCTGTGTTGAAATTTTCTGCTGTTGAAGCGTCGTTATTATAATTCATTTGATGAATTTTGTTATCGGATAAGTTTTGAAATGTTTTTGTCTCGACTGGATTATTCAGTATATTGGGTTTTAGTGTACATGCGATAATATTTTCGCTATGTCAAAGGAGTGAGGTGGTAATATAATAATATTGCCATTGTCCATCTGTACGTTATTTGTTTTGTTTTCAGAGTCACTTAGTGACCTTTCCAAATTGGCTGTTGTCGTAGTTGACGTGGTTGATTGAATATTTAAATTACATTTTCACTCAACTTTCGGTATAAATTTTTAATAAATATTTAATTTAAATTTTTAGTCAACTTTTACGCCAAACATTTCACGAAACTTTAATTTAAATCTTCACTCAATTTTCGCGTCGACAATTTCTGGAAAATTTAATTTAAATCTTCCGTCAAGTTTTACGCCAAACATTTACTCATTTTGGACATTTAAATCTTTATACAATTTTCTCTAAACTTTGCAATTAAAGTTTCCGAAGTTTGCAAATAAATCTTGAGGAAATTTTCAGGAAATTTTCGGTGCTGTGGGGGATACGCATACATTATTACATATTGTTTAAAGGCGCCGCACAGTGGGTAATAAATGACCCTCTGTGGACAAAAATCTACCGACAACACAAATCTTAACCGATTTTAATATTTTTTTTTTAAAATACTCGGAGAGGTTTTTCCTGTAACGCACAACTGCGATAAATTTGATTTATTTCAAACTAACCTTAAAAATGATACCTATATATAAAATTACGTTATTAGGATGGTTTAAAAAATAAAAAAATGATTAATTTTGATATAGCAGAGAGTATTGTGAACCCTTTTTGATCACTGAATGCGAATTTGACATTAAAATTGCAAAATTTTAAAATTCAAAATGGCGGGTGCAATATGGCAGGCAATGTTTTATAAAAGTCACCAAATTCACTCGAAAGTTGTTATTCAGGGGTTTTTAAGGTCGCTGGTTACGAATCTGAAGTCTGATTTCAAAAATTCAAAATTGCGGATCCAATATGGCGGATTAAAAAATTAAAAACTCATTGAATTTGCATGAAAGTTGTTACTTGGAGGTTTTTAGGGTCGCTGATTACGAATCTGAAGTCAAATTTCAAAAATTCAAAATGGCGGATCCAATATGGCGATCAAATTTTTAAAAAGTTATTAATTTTTTATTTTATTTCCGCTATTTTGAATTTTGACAATTTAACATCAGATTCGTCATCAGCGACCCCGAAAACCCCCGAGTAACAAGTTTTAAGCAAATATAGTGAATCTTAAATTTTTTTTGGTCGCCATATTGGATCCACCATTTTGAATTTTGGAAATGTGACATCGGATTCGTAATCAGCGACCCAAAAAACCCCCGTGTAACAACTTTCAAGCAAATCCAATTAATTTTTGATTTTCTTATCCGCCATATTGGATCCGCCATTTTGAATTTTTGAAATTTGACTTCAGATTCGTAACCAGTGACCTTAAAAACCCCTGAATAACAACTTTCGAGTGAATTTGGTGACTTTTATAAAACATTGCCTGCCATATTGCACCCGCCATTTTGAATTTTAAAATTTTGCAATTTTAATGTCAAATTCGCATTCAGTGATCAAAAAGGGTTCACAATACTCTCTGCTGTATCAAAATTAATCATTTTTCCATTTTTTAAACCATCCTAATAACGTAATTTCATATATAGGTATCATTTTTAAGGTTAGTTTGAAATAAATCAAATTTATCGCAGTTGTGCGTTACAGGAAAAACGTCTCCGAGTATTTAGAAAAAATAAATATTAAAATCGGTTAAGATTTGTGTTGTCGGTAGATTTTTGTCCACAGAGGGTCATTTTTTTCCCACTGTGCGCCGTCCCATGACAGCGTAAAACGCCGGCGTAAAGCGAAAAGCATGAGATAGAAAGAGATAATGAGATATCTTTATCTCTTTCGTTCTCATGCTTTCCGCTTTTACGCCGGCGTTTCACGCTGTCATGGGACGGCGCCTTAATACTATATATATTGGTAGATGATGATTGTATTTTAATACTGTTTATGTGAATTTAGAATGCAACGTAAAAAGTATTTCATAGCGGATATTTTATCTATTGTTTGACCAGTACGTGTCTTTTCTCGATTTAACGAGTTATATCTGTATCTGGTCAACATGTGTTTAGTGTCCCACGGAGAAAGGTTTTATAACGTTTTCAAGTGGTATATTTTTTATGATCTTTTAAAGGTTTTATATTTCAGAGTGAAGGAAAGTTTAAGAATTATATTTCCTTTTCTATTTTACTTTATTTACGACAATTCTGAGAACTGTTTATATTATTGAGATACTCAAACGAGAATTTGAGAAGTATTAAAGCGTGAAGGAATTATTTTCCATTCGTCATGCTTTTTATAAACATCTTTATATTTTCCTTTAGAAGAAGTAAAGTAATAAAAGTTTATGTTAACTTAATTGTTTAACAATTTAATATTTAAATTTAGCGCGATGATATCTCGTTAGTTCGAGATATCAAAAAGTAATTCCAGCGAGAATATAGTCGCTCTTTACAGCATTGTGATCGGAGCGCCAGACATCATTTAGAAGAACTAAATTCCTTCAAACAATGAGTCACTCCCTGCACTAGAGTCTCCTGTCTACCACTGATTGTAAAAGCCATAAAAAAACAGAAGATACTTAAATATTTAACTGTAATTTAGGAATTTCATTAAAATGAGTAACAAAGGTGAGGACAAAATAATAAATTAAAATAAATTAGTTTAATAATTATTGCGGCTGTTTTGCCTGTTGTCTCTATATAATAACCAGTGTTTTTGTTATTATTGCATTCTTCAATTTAAATATCTATTTTATTTTTTTCTTTTTTTTATGTTTTTCCATAATACAATCATATTAAAGACTTTTAGAAAATCCTATTTATTTCAAATTTCATACTTTCCTATAGAAGTTAATAGGAGCCAATTGAAAATATTTTTTTAAATTCTATATGTTTCTACTCAGTTACTTCCTAAAAATGAACCAAAATAAAAACATATTAATAGCAGTTAAAGAATATCCTTACCACTTAGATGGTATTAATTTTAGGTAATAGAATTCTAATAGATGCTAGTTTTGGTCTCAGATTATACTACTTTTTCGACTTTTTGTTTTACATTTTTTACAAAATTTTTAAATATAATACGTCTTTTTTAGTATACAATGTAAATCTTCATCAGGTCTTTTATAATTCAATTATTTAACAAATTTTTTAAATAAAATTCTTCTCTAATCTGTAATATAATTCTTATTCAAGATTTTGTGGAATATAATGCGTATTCGAAATTCCAGGAAATATAAGTCTTATTCGAAACTCAGAGAATATAATTCTTATTCAAGGTTCCAAATAATATAAGTCGTATTCAAATTTCCGTGTGACAAAAGTCTTATTCAAAGATTGTACTAAAACTTATATAGGGTAAATGCACCAATTACGGCGCGATTCTAGTCAAAACACCTTTGAAATATAAAATTCGACATTTCTATTGTATAAAGTCAACTTAAGACTTATTAAACTAAGAACTTATGTTATTTAGATATTAAAAAAATATTTTAACTTTATAAAAATCGATTATTTAAACAAATATGAGAAATTAAAACTAATGCCGTAATTTTCTATTACGGCGCGTTTGTATCAGTTTCGGTGTATCAATTAAGATGAACAAAATTACGTGTATTTTGAAGATGTTTAATTACCGTAATTGGAGCCAATGAAAATCTTAAAAATGTTTCAATTACGGGGAGGGAAAAAATTTAATCTCAAATAATTAAATTAATAATTGTTTAAATGTGTATCTTTATTAGTAATTGCATCAAAAAAAGATTAAAATAATTTTTTTAAATCATTTTGCAGCAGTTACATTAAATATAATAGTAATAATAGTTATGTTTTATGAACCCTCTGTAATTTATGCACTCGCCGTAATTGGTGCTCTTACCCTATATTCTTAATGAATATTCCGTATAAAATTGAAATTTAATGCTCAAGTGTTATGAATATTAATTTATAAAAATATATGAACATTAATTAACCCCTTCGCAGTCTAGTAGAAAAATCGTCTATGGGCCCAAAACGGTTAAAAAAAATGTTTCAAAAAAAAAATATATCATCGTATTAAAAGTTTTTGGGGTCGCTGAATCCAAATTCGAGGTTAAATTGAAAAAATCAAAATGGCGGACCTACTATGGCGACTCAATATGGCATACTAAATAAAATTTAGATTCAGCGACTCCATAAAAACCTCCGAGTTTCGAAATTTGAATGAATCGAATCAATTTTAAAATTTTCTGCCATATTAGATCCGCCATTTTTAATTTTGTAAATCTGACCTCAAATTTAGATTCAACGAACCCAAAAATCTACCCCCACAGCACCGAAACTTTCCTAAAGATTTATTTAAAATGTTCGGAATATTTAATTGCAATGTTTAGTGAAAATTGTGTAAAGATTTAAATGTCCCACTTGAATAAATGTTTAGCGCGAAACTTTCCTGAACATTTATTTAATCGGGACATTTAAATCTTTACACAATTTTCACTAAACTTTGCAATTAAATATTCCGAACATTTAACAAATAAATCTTTAGGAAAGTTTCGGTGCTGTAGGGGTTAGTATACCCATTGACACTCAAATCGAATTATGTTTAGTATTTTTTTCTAAGGTGGACATGTCCAAACTCACAAAGGTGGCACGACTTTTTTCTGGACATATAGGGGCTATGGACTGTCAAGGGGTTAATACATGATAATATAAGGAACCAAATTTTCTTTAATATGTATTATTATTATAATTAATAATTGATTTAAGTTTGGCTTTAGGGTCCGTGAAATAAAGAACGATGTGTTGCCGAAACGTCTGAAATCAAGATAAAACATCGTTCTTTATTTCACGGACCCTAAAGCCAAACTTAAATCAATTATTAATTTAATTAGAAAGTCAATTACAAAAATATTTTAAAATATTTCAATGTTTTCAGTTCTATGAAACTGAAATAATTTACAAAATTTATTAAACGATTTGATTACATAATATGAATTTCATAAATTAAAACTTCGAAATTTAGAAAATGTAGAAGTTTAACATTTTTTTTACAAAACCCCACTGTAAATTCCCACATAGGCTCCCATATGGGTCCCTATATAGGAAGCCATATGGTTTCCTATACAAAATCGTATACGTAATTGGAACAGGAATTTGAATAGGAAATTAAGTCGGAATTATCATATGAATCCACATCCACACAGGAATGTACATTCCTATGTATATTCCTATTTCAATTCCTATAATATGAATTTTTTTTCAACTCTAATATATATAGCTTTCAATAGTAGAGGTTCCTGATAGACTACAGAGATGAAAAAAATTTATTGCGCAGCCGAAAAAGTTGAAGAAAACTACTGCGCATGATATTAAGATATAATGTGCATATTCATATGATAATTCCTACTTAATTTCCTATTCAAATTCCTGTTCCAATTACGTATACGATTTTGTATAGGAAACCATATGGCTTCCTATATAGGAGCCTATGTGGGGATTTTCAGTAGGGAAGTTTGGTTATCTATTTGAAAAAAAGATTTTTTTTAATTATACATATTTCTAAATTCTTACTTTAGTTCGCAGCCTGAATTCGTGGTAAGAAATTAGAAAGAATTTAAACAACTGATGAATTCTGTATTAAATACAGATGTGTCTTTTAAATTATAAAAGAGTTTTCATCTTGAAAATTGATTTTCAGCAGATAAAGATCCAGTACAGGAAGAAATGTCGGGCAGAGTGCAAGAAGTGGGAAATCAAGCGATCTGGAGTTTATCCAGTTGTAAACCAGGTTTTGGCGTTGATCAACTTCGAGATGATATAACAGAAACTTATTGGCAATCAGATGGACAATTACCACATCTTGTAAATATTCAGTTTCGCAGAAAAACTACTATTCGGGATATTTGTATATACACAGATTACAAACTAGATGAAAGTTATACTCCTAGTCGGTAAGAATTACATATATTTTTGCTATTGATATTAGGTGAGGCTTATTAAATAAATAAGTTATATTTAATAAACCAAAATTGAGGTGAATTTATTGTGCTTTTCTTTTTAAAAAGTGATTCAATTTTTACATTATTTACTAATCTTTTTGTGAATTTTTATAATCTGAAATCTTCATAAAATTGTCGTAGTTACAGTCAACTATACAAACATTGAGGTTTGTATTTTAATTTTACATGGATTTGGAATAATTTCTCATATCATTTTTATGAAGAGAGGGAAAAAAAATTACTTTTTGAAGGCTGGGAATAATATATGCAATATTTTTAATTGGGACTATAGGGTTTATTGTTTAAGGGAAAATTATAATAAAAAAGTGACGACAAATTTAGCCCACGTTAAAAGTTGAGCATAATCTTTGTTTTGAAGATACAGTGTTAAAAAAGGGTTAAAAAGTAGTTAAAAATGGTTAACCCTCTGCCTACTCATATGACCGTTATCGTCTAAAATCGTCTATTTGGACGCCTGGTGGAGACTATGGGAATTACATTTAAAAACACTAGATTGGGGATAAATCAGCTTAGGCAGAGGGTTAAATTATAACAATTAAAATACGTTCTGGTTCGCTTGAAACTTATTACTCGGAAGTTTCTGGGGTCGTTGATTACGAATCGGGCGTAAGTTTTCAAAAATTCAAAATGGCACAAGATTTCTAATAATCGCTCAGATCTGTTTGAAAATCCGTTATATTGGATCTACTATTTTGAATTTTGAAAAATTGACACCAGATTCGTAATCAGCGACCTCAAAAACCCCAGAGTAATAAGTTTTAAGCGAATCTGAGCGTATTTTAATTAGTATATTTTAACCACTTTTTTACACTTTTTTAACACTGTATCTTCAAAACAAAAATTATGCTCAACTCTAAATGTTGATGATATTGATGTCCCTCAATATAAATACTTTGAACTATGTTTAAAAGCAAAATTCATGAGCCCAAAAATGGGCTAAAAACAGTGGATTTTAGTTTAGCTTTATATTTTTGTTGCAGAATTAGTATAAGAGCTGGAACAAATTTTAATGATCTGCAAGAAGTTGAAATTATGGATTTAAATGAGCCAAATGGATGGATAGTAATACCTGTCAAAGATTTAAATGAACGTCCAATTCGCACTTTTATGCTTCAAATAGCTGTTATTAGTAATCACCAAAATGGAAGAGATACGCATATGCGGCAAATTAAAGTGCACAGTCCCGCCATTGAAATTGTCGGTCCACCTGCTTCTTATGTACCTGGTCAATTTCTCACAAACGAATTTCAGCAATATACCGCTATCAGATAAAATTCTTTTCATCTTATTATAATTGTTTTTATATTTGAAAGTTATCCAATCTGAAAAGATAACTAAAAACTAGTTCAAAACCTTTTAGAAGTAGGAAAGATATGTATCAAATTTTTCTCATATTTTTTAAATGGTTTTTACATGGCTTCCACCTGATTCTTATTAGGTATGTAATATAAAAAATATGTATATAGTAAAAATAATAAATTATAATATTATCATTACTTTTTTATTATTTTAAACCATGTACAGTTTTTTGTTCGTAGATAGAAGATAGATTTATATATTTTTATTTATATTTTTCATTTCAACATACAATTTTTTTATAACAATGCTGCGTGCGCAATGTCGTCTGCACGTCAACTAGCAGAAATCTCAATTGTTTATACTAATAAATTAATAAAATTTCTTAAGTTAAACTTACATTTACAATAAAAAGCCTTTGGAACATTAAAGAAAACACAGGTAAGATTATTTTAGCGTTTAAGTGATTGAATTTTAAATAGTCGCGCGAAAGTTATTCAATTATTATTTAATAATTTTTTTAGTTGTAAAATTATAAAAAAATGTTCTGAAAGAGATTTATTCCTCTCATTTTCCTTGACATTTTAAAAAAAAGTAGACCTCAATCCGTTTATTAGAACGGAAGATATAGCAGTTTTAAATTTTTTGTTATTATTGCAAATCTCGTAAACTAACAAATATTTTAGGCTGAAATTTACGTTAAAGATTAGTCTTACTATATATAACAAAATTCCAAAGTTTCATTGCAATCGGTTAACCTACTCCGAAAAAGTCAAAATCTCACTTGGAATCGCACACTTTTAATATTTTTTATACTTGTATGTAAAATTTGGGTTCAGTAGTAACATTTTTTGTTCATATAAATTTTTCTGTGCGCCTTGTTATTTAAGAGCTATGAACGTTTTGAAAAGACTGTTACGTTACATAATTTTGGAAATAGGTTTTTGAGTTGCGCGACATTTTGAAAATGCGGATTTTGATAAGCATTGGAATGATGTTGTTAAAATTATTCTAATTTTATTTGTTCGCAAAATATTTTATTTTTTACTAATTTTTATTAATTAATTAATTAATTAATATCTGGAAAACAAAAAATAAGGTATTCGCCAAATTTGGCACATTATGCTTTGGTTCATGTTAAAGAATGTTCATGAATTTTTTCAGCTTAAATGGTGCCCGGTAACAAGTTTAAAAATTAAAAATAAATTAAATTTTTTTAACACCCTAGAAGAAGTATATGAATTAAAACCTCTAAAGGGTAACTGGGGTGTCTAGACACCCCAACTTGAAACTTGTGTAAAAAGGTTTCCATTTGACATAAAACTAATTATATATAGTGATTTTTATTGGTTTTTTTGTAAGGAAAACATTAGTTTTATTGATTTTTTGATAAAATAAAAATAAATTGATAAAAACGAAAAATTTTCCAAATTTGTCGAAATTTGAATTTTGCTGGGGTATCTAGACACCCCAGTTACTCTTTGTAGGGTTAATAAATAAATTTAAAAAATTGAATTTTTCAAAATTAATTTTTTTTCATAAATTTAAATATTTTCTGAGCCAAAAACGTTTAAGAAACTTTTTTCTAGGACAAAAAGTGAAAAAGTTATGAGTAATTGAAAATTGCACTCATTTTTTAATGCAAATAACTCGAAAAATAATAAGTATTTTTTTTCCTAGGCCGTTTCCGAATTTGAGATTTATAGCGCATACTATAATGACCCTTAAAAAAACAACTTTCTGTCACATCCTAGACTTAAAGGAATAGTTAATTATCATAACAATTAAAGAATTGTTATTCGTCTTAAAATGTTTGAATATTGTTCACAATACTTCATTGAAATTATTTATAATATAATATTTATTTTAATTACTCTAAGTTAATTACAATACTTAGTTTGAGAATCAGAAGTTACGCGCAACACGTCTTGCTTCTAACAATTCTCAAAATGTTCTGAAATTCAAGCCGAAGATGCTCGCTTTATATACTTTCGTTAGTGGGAGGAGTTTTATCCCCTCTTACTCATTTAACCAATCGGAGCGCTCATGTCGTGCTTTTTGACCAATAAATCTCAATGGCTCAAGGTCAAGTTCTGAATAGTCCTTACGATTATAAATAAACATTTTATTTATTTATTTACAATTTTTTTATAAATATAATTTTAATTGCATAATTAATATTATTATAAAATACTTTTACGCTCATATTAATATCATTTAAAATTATTAACGATAATAACTTTGAAACATACTTTAACAGGAATTTATCTTTGAAGTGCATTATAGGGGGTTTTAAGGGTCGCTGATTACGAATCCGAAGCCAGATTTTAAAAATTTTCAAAATTCAAAATGGCGTATCCATAATATATGGTGGACAATTTTTTTTAAATTGATCATATCCGCTCGAAACTGGTTACTCAGGGGTTTTCGGGGTCGCTAATTATGAATCCGATGTCAGTTTTTCAAAATTCAAAATGGCGGATCCAATATAGCGGACAATTTTGTTAAAATTGATCACAGACACACACACACACACACATACAAAAGCGCCATTTTGAATTATAAAAATCCAAAGTCATATTCATAAACAGCGACATCAAAAACACAGCAAATCCGATCAATTTTTCATTTTGTCATCAGCCATTTTGAATTTTGAAAGTCCAACGTCATATTCGTAATCAGCGACCTCAAAAACCCCCAAAATAACAAGTTTTAAGCAAATCCGATCAATTCTTCATTTTGTCATCCGCCATATTGGATCCGCCATTTTGAATTTTGATAATCCAACATCATATTCGTAACGAGCGACCCAAAAAACGCCCGAGTAACAAGTTTCAAGCCATTCCTATAAATTTTTCATTTTCTCATCCGTCATATTGGATCCGCCATTTTGAATTTTGAAAATCTAACGTCATATTCGTAATCAGCGCCCCCAAAAACCCTCGAGTTAGAAGTTTCAAGGAAATCCGATCAATTTTTCATTTTGTCATCCGCCATATTGCACGGAGAAAATTTGTTCCGGATATTTTACTGAATTTTAACTGAAAGTTGGGATATAGTTGCACAATAGGAATTTTTCAAAATATTTTTTTTATTTTTTGTAGTGATGATAGTTAAAACTTGATATGATATTTTAATTTATTACAAGCTAGTACTGTAAATATATGAAAATTTTGAATCATTAAACATTGGTTTATATTACGATAACTATAGCCAGCTCTCCTGAGTATTTCCTTTCTGTGCACTACTCAAGTCCAGTTCGGTAAAACTTATGTACTTATACACTTTATGAACTTATACCTTTTATTTATATATATATATTATTATTATTACACAGTCTTTTTTTAATTTTTCAGAAAACATAATAAAAATTATTTTAATTCATTAACTATTATTAGAGGTGAAATAAACAAAAAATTGAATTTTGCTCAGATGTATTTTCAAACTAAATCATATTTTTAAATTAAATTTTAGGGAAAATAATTTATTTTTAATATACAAACAAAATAATTTTTTTTCATTAATTTGTTTCTATTTAAATCACAAATAAAGTTTAAATAAAAATTTCAGAAAAAATGAATTAATTACTTTAAAAAATTAAAAACTAAATTTAAATTAAAAACTTTAAAATTTGAACGTTTCTTACAAGCGGTAAACTAAAATCCTGGTTAATATATAAGGACAGGTCGAACCTTCTGAAGCAATGTAAAGCGAGCGATTAAGGCCTTTCTCCAATAGGAACCTAAACTTTTGCGTTGCGTGACTGACGCGTTGATTTTAGCATTGGTTGCCAATAGCACCCGACGCAATGCATACGCAACGCAAGAGTTTAGGATCCTATTGGAGAATGGCCTTTATATATATGTATGGCGTTATTTTATATGTATGCGTTTAGTATGTATTACGTTAAATAAAAATGTGTTGCGTGTATTAGGTGTAAGGTTAACATGATGTACTGTTTCAATTCGTATATGTGAGTATCAAATTGTAAGGCTGCAGTCCCATGGCAGCGTTTTGCGTTGCGTTTTGTCACTAGACCCTGAGTGTAAACATAGCAAACATATATCTGCATCTCTTTTACACTCATGGTCTAGTGACAAAACGCAACGCAAAACGCTGCCATGGGACTGCAGCCTAAACCATCAGAGAATCATTAAAGTAGGTGAATTGAGATTTCCAGTAATGGTAATATTTACTTTTTATATTTCTGCCTGAAGTTTTACCGAACTCTTCATTAATAATTTAAATAATTTATGAAATTTCAATTCTGATTTATCAAAAACGGACCTTAATATTCTTAGCTATTGTTCTAGTTTATGTACTGTCAGTACCTTACGGTTTCCCGAACTGAACTTGAGACACTAATATATGCGTGTTATAATATTTTATGCCTTTTGCATTACAGTTTTATGAAATTCATTTTACTGTACTAATTATTGAAAATTACCGTTTTGCTGTTTTATCCCAATTTTACCGAACTAAGTTCAGTAAAACTCTCGGAACAAATTTTCTCCGTGTGGATCCGCCATATTGAATTTTGAAAATCTGATGCCAGATTCGTAATCAGCGACCTCGAAAACTTTATGGACATTATTGTTTGGTTATTTCCTATTGTTGTTTAGTCAAAATTACATTTATTGTAAAAAAACGCTATTTTTAAACTTAATTTGTTTATAACATTTATTTTATTTATAAAAAACACTTTTTTAATGTAGTTATATTGTAATAGATATTCTAAAATACAATTTTTAGAATATCTAAAAAATTTTAAATCTCGATTGAAATTTCTCGACTCATTTCATTCATTTTCGAGTTCCCTAGAAATTTTTACTAGAAGCAGACGCCAGACCGCCAGACGTCACACTTTCCACAAGTGGCGCAAGTCTATCCAACAAGTGGCACGAACTAACAAACTTGCCACAAGTTGGACGAACTCTGTGCACGTGGTTTCGAGTGTGCTATGAAACAAAACAAACAAATTTTGAACACAGAAAACATTATAAGTTTATTTAAACGTTTTTTCGTAAAAGAGAAAAAATGAGCAATAATTCTGACATTCATCAAAATATTGACAAATATTTTATGAGTTATGAAGATTTTGATGTAAGTTTTAATTTTCTAGTTTATTGGAGCCAAGAATACAAAATTTAAATAAAATATAAATACAAAAATATTTTTCAATATCTAAGTTTTTACGTTTTAGAAGACTCGTTTTCAAAAACGTACAAAAATTGTATGGATTGAAATTTACATATTAAGGGGATGTACTAATAAAATTTTCGTTCTTTTAGGATTTCAATTTATTTATTTACTATTTATATAATGTAAATTTATTTTTCTACTTTGGTCATGAAAATTTAGAAAAAAAATATTCATTAAATAACTAATTTTTTCATAGAACTTAAAATTGAGGAAAAATGGAAATTTGACATTTACAATTTTTAATATTTTTCATCGTTAATTTTTTCAAACTTTTTTTTATTATTTGGAACAATCAATAGTATTGATTTAAAAATTTTTTCAAAAAATAAAATTTCTTAAATAGTAAAAAATATATTTTTTTAAATTTTGATAATTTAAAATATTTTTAGATCCTAAAAATAATGTCGAAAAAAATTGTTGCCTTATAACAACGAAAAATTAAATAGGTTAAGGGGAGAGACCGGTGAAATTTCTACTATTCGAAATTAATATTGTTAAGGGGTGTCAATTTATTTTCTGTCATTATTTAGGATCTAAAATTATTGTGAATTATCAAAAATAAAAAAAAATTCTTTTGATTATTTTAGAAATTTTATTTTTTGAAAATATTAAAATTTTTAAAAATCATTACGATTGATTGTTCAGAATCATGAAAAAAAACCTACAAAAAATTACCGATAAAAAATATTAAAAATTGTGGAAGTTTAATTTTTAAGGAATAATTGATAAAATTTAAAACAAACATAATTAGTTTGGCTTAAGGGTAAGAATTTTTTTTAACAATTTTTTTAGAACCGAAAATCATATTTTACTATGAAAAATAAAAAAAAGTAATTTTTAACAATTTTACAATTTTTTTTTATTTTTCAGAAATTTTATTTTCTGAAAAAATTGATTGTTTAGAATCATGAAAAAAATGTGTAAAAAAATCAGCAATGAAAAATAATAAAAGTTGCCACAGAAGTTTAAATTTTAAATTTTTGGAGATTTAAAGTTTTATTTAAAAAATTATTAATGAATTAATTGTTTTTCAGTTTCCCATATTATATTACAGTTTTACATACTCAATATTGTCAGAAAAAAAATTGACAACCTTAAACAGCCTTTCAGCGGTCTCTCTCCTTAATATTTCAGTTGTCCCTTTAATGAGTTTTGAAGATTTTCTTACATACTTTCCAATAGTTTGAACAATGTTATTAAAAAAGTCCTAATCCTTTTTTAAAAATTAACCCTTATCTTCCAGTTTTGGTTCATTTGGGCATATAAAGTTTTAATTTGCTTTTTTTAAACTTAAAAAATGTTTAGTAATTCCTGAAATATGTTAAAAATAATGTTCGAACATGTTTTTCTACAACCCAGCAGCGAGGCGGCGAAAAGTGATGATCGATAGCTGAGTTGTAGAAAAACAGGCCCTGACCTTTTTTAATATATTTCAGGAACCACAAAACATTTTTTAATTTTCAAAAATGCAAATTAAAGCTAAGACCTTAAAAATTATGTTGTAAAATTGTCAAATTTTTCCATACATTATTCTACATTAGGCCAGGAGTCAAAAACATTAGTACAAAAGTAGGAAAATTGCATTATTTTTACTTGAAATCTTTGCGGTATTATAAATACTAAAAAAAGGAAAAAAATTTTCTTGATATACATTCAGGCGCAGAATTCTATCAGCTTTCTAACCATCTAAGTTACAAATTTTTTGTTGTATTTCTAGTTTCTTATAACGTATTTTTTTATAGGTTCATCAGCTGATGTTAAGTGATAAATCTCGAATACTTTCGTATAAAAATGCGATTTTTGACAGTAAAGATAAATTTACAAATAAAACTGTTATGGATGTTGGCGCAGGAACTGGTATGATGCTCAATTTTATTTTATATGTGGAATAAAGTTAGGCAAATTTTTTTTTACAAAATTTTGTAGATTAGAGTTCCCATACTTTAAACTCCACATTAGAAATATTTAAGTGTCGAAAAAATATTATGAAAAAAATTGAAAAAAAAACTTTAATCCGTTGCCTGTCGCTGACGCATATATTGGCGAAACTAAGACTGTCCTGTTTATGACGCAACATAAAAAAAGAATAAAAACTTCTTCAATATTCCTAAAATGGGTTTTGGGGTCGCTGCCCAGTGAGTAAAAAACCATGTTCGTTCCAAAAACGTTTTTAAATCGTTTCATGTCAGTCAAAAAACGTTCTAGAACATTATTAGACCATCCATGTTCTTAAAAATTTTTTAGAACATTATTTGGCGGACGTGAAACGTTCTAAAAGCGTTCTTAAAACGTTTTTTTATGTCAAATACATAATCAGCAACCTGGAAAACGAGTAACAAGTTTCAAGAGAATCCGATTAATTTTTAATTTTGTCATCAGCCATATTGGATCCTCCACTTTGAATTTTGAAAAACTGATGTCAGATTCGTAATCAGCGACTCCAAAAACCTTATGGTAAAAAATACATAAAAATACATTAACATTTTTTCTTATACATTTTTGGCCCAAACAGTTGATATCTCGTCGAGGGGGTACAAAATTTTTCTTGGTAAATAAATTGTAGTTTTTGTAATTTTTAATATTTTTGGCTTATATTTTAGATTTGTATTCTTAAAATAATAAATTATATTTTTGAAAATAATTGAATTTTCGAATATATTGAATTAAAAGAATTGTAAGTAATTCACATCTGTGAAAATTTAAAAATGTTAGGTAAAAACCCGAAATATTGTCTAGCAGTCAGGAAAATTAAAATGAAAATTTTGTGACAAGCTTGTTACTTACTTAATCTAAATAAAAACTTGACAAAGTTGACTTTTGATTCGAATGTTGGAATAAGAATTAAATAAACTTGATTTTTGATTCAGGTATTAAAACCAAAATTAAACAAAGTTGTCTTTTGATTCTGATGACTATTTTTTTAATTTTAGGCATTTTATCAATTTTTTGTGCCCAAGCTGGTGCTAAGAAAGTTTATGCAATAGAAGCAAGTCAAGTTGCTAAAATTGCTAAAGAAGTTGTTATTGAAAATAACTTTACTGATGTTATAGAAGTAATTGAAAGTTCAGTAGAGCATATTGAATTAAGTTTAATTGACAAAGTAGATATTATTGTATCAGAATGGATGGGTTTTTATTTAATACACGAAGGAATGCTGGATTCTGTTATTTTTGCTAGAGACAATTTCCTTAAAGAAAATGGACTCATGTTTCCGAGTATTGCTAAATTATATGCTGCACCCTGTCAACTGCCATCATTTTTTGATTTTTGGGACGATATTCATGGTGTTCAAATGAAGTACGTATATTGTATGTTAAAAGTTTGCATAAACTGATTAGATACAATTACAAATAGCAAATATTATTAATTTATTTAAACAAATGTAAAAACTAGAGGGGGTCAAAGTTTGGATTTTTTGTCTCGCATGGCATATTTAAAAGATTTATAGTATCCCTTTTTACGCACTTTTTAATGCTGAAAACAATTTTTAAAAATAAAAAAATTTGACCTTGAAAAATGCAAATAAAAAATGAAATTGCATTTTTCTATAAAATGGACATTTTTTTATTTTTTTTATTTTCATAAAGCTCATGTTTTTTCCTAAAAAAATGTATAGGTCAAAAAATAGAACAAGCTGATTTTACTTGTCAAATTAAGCATTTACTTCTGTAGGTGAAAAAAAGTATATTGTAGAATATAAAACAAGTAGGGGGTCTTTTATGTTCATTTCATGAACATTTTGTTTCCTCATTGTGTTAAGCAAAAAATATACTTCCTCACTGAGAAAGCAATAAATTTCTTTAACTCATTCAGGTGATTTAAATGATTTAAATTGAATTAAAACGTAAAATTTTATAGCTAAAATGTGAATTACTGATTTTTTAACTTTCATTAAATTTAAATTTAAATCAAAACTATACTTTATATATACCAATCGATTTGTCATGACGTAAGGAAGAAGATTTTATTGTATATCACCTTAAATTTTGCCATTTAAAAATTTTTTCGATTAAAAAAAAATTTAGAAAAAAGACGATAAAATTTTTTTTTTGGGTATTTTTTAAAATCCTTTGGTCAATTTTGAGATATTAATATGATAAATAAGCCTATTAAATTTTATCTCAATCCATTAAAACCTGTTAAATTTATCGTATAAACAAAAAAGGGATCCACACACACACATACACACATACATACATCCGGACTACAAAGCTTCCTTCACGAGGAAGAAAATTTTTTAATACCTATACAAAACCTTCCATAACAAAAAAAAAATAACTAAAAAGATTTTTAGTATTATTATTTTCTTAAAGTACTGTTATGTTAAAACACTTCCACTTGTTCCTTGAAGGGGTTGTAAATCCTAGGAACTTTAACTTTTCTCAAATAAAATAAATACGAATTAATATTGCAGATGCGTTGGAAAAGAACACAGGCGTTTAAAATCGTTAAAACCAGAAGTATCAATTGTGAACGATGAGAACCTTTTATGTGACAGTAACCTTTTGATCTGGTTGAATTTGTATGATGTGACAGTGGAAGAATTAAACACATTATCAGGAGATAATACTATTGCAATTTGTCAAAAAGACGGAAAGTGTCAAGGTATTTGTATATGGTTTGTCGTTGAATTTCCAAATGGCTCTGAATTATCCACTGCACCGTCATGTGAACCCACACATTGGAAACAAACTGTTATAGTTCTACCAAGTGAAATAGAATTATCTAAAAGTGATCCATTGACATATAAATTAAATTTAAATAGAAGCGAGGAAAATTCTAGATTTTATAATATGGAACTGACAATGTTGGATTCTGCCGAAGTTGAACATGAAATACCTTGTTGTTGCAATATGACTAAGTGTCTTATTATGCGCACATATATAGAAAAACAACAATTAAATGCTAATAATTTAATTACAAATGTTAATCCAGATGATTAAAATTTTAATATTTTTAAAGGTAACATATTGTGCTCTGATTTTTCGATGACTATAAAGCGGTTTAAATCTTAAACAATATTAAAACAATATTATTAATAAATAATAATAATAATAAATAAAATAATATAACATAAATTTAGAAACAAAAGAAATAATAGCTATTGTCCAAATTTAAAGAGACATCTTATTCTTACTTTTAATTATTTGATATAATGAAAAACGTGCTAACTATATCATCAGATAAGATTGTTAGATTATAATAAAAATTTATGAATAAAATTAAAGAGAGAGAGAGAGAGAGTCAATAAGGCCGGTTTTTTGGCCAAGCTCGGATTAAGCTCATTATCCTCATTCGTTTGTATAAGTTTACGTCATTAGATCATGAAGAAGGTTTTGAGGTAGCTGATTACGAATTTGATGTCAGTTCTTAAAAATTTGAAATGGCCGATCCAATATGACGAATATCATTTTTGAAAAGTGATCAGATTCACTTAAAACTTTTTACTCGAGGGTTATTGAGGTCGTTAATAACGAATCCGATTTCAGTTTTTAAAAATTCAAAATGGCGGATCCAATATGGCGGCAGAATTTTTCAAAATTAATCAAAATCGTTACCGAGGGATCGCTGATTACGAATCCGATGTCATTTTTTCAAAATTCAAAGTGGCGGATCCAGTATGACTGACTTTTTTAAAAAAAGCATGTGGGTTCGCTTGAAACTTATTAATAGAGGGCTTTAAAAAATGTGAGAAATATAAAGCAAAAAAAAGCTTTACGTAATAGAAAGCGAAAACAAATGACAAATGTTTCTCATTAAACTAATTTAATCCTGTACAACGTGTAAGAACATGAATCAGAATAACGCTTTTCAAAACAATCATAAGACAAATAAAAGTCGATCTTAAGTAAACAAAACGTTTCAGAAAAGTATGGCGGTGCGACCGCAAAAGAAACCTTCAAAATATTGACTTGTAAGCTGAAATTTTCAAAAACGCATGTCAAATTAAATTTTTAAAGTACGTGGTAAATACAAATAAATTATTATTTTGGAAAAACTACTTTATGGTCTTATGAGGTACTCTTATACAAACGAATGAGGGTATATTGAGCTTAGTCCGTGTTGGTCCAAAAACTAATATTTCTATTATGAAAATAATATTTTAGAAAAATTTACCAAATCAAAATTATGGGTTTGTTTCTCCTATTTTCTAAATTAACTTTTCTAGTTTATAAATAAATTAACTTTAAATGGTTAAAAAATAAATAATAAAATAATAATAATTACTAAATTATTATTTTTTCATAAAAAAAAATTTCAAAACCAACTTGGGTCAATCCATTACATTTCACCCTTAAGTCGTTGCGGACTATTTTTAGAAAAATCTGATAATTCGTAAAAATAATATTAGATATCCGTACAATTCATTTTTGGCAATTATTTTATAAAATTTTATTTATTTACTTAGAAATTTGAATTTTAAAGTTAAGATGCACGGAAAATGGGTTATTTTGAGAGCTGTGAAAATTTAATAAAAAGGCACATAAGTAATTTATATAATATCAATTTCTTCATTGGTAATTGCTCAAAATAGTCTAATTTACTTATATTAATCGATTATTATATAAAAAAAGACAAAAATATAATATAAAAATTCATTTTTAAAATTATTTGTGAAGCATAAAAGTTTAAATTTACTTTCATACCCATGATACTTTTTTAAATTATGGTATAGAAATATTAAATATTTTACCTTTAATATTGAAGTTTTGAAAATTTTCTTAGATTTTGAACACCAATAACATTTTTCCACAAAAATAAATAAGTCCATTTCCTATTACACCCATCCTATTAAAATTTGGTTTTAATTTTTAATTTAATAAAATTCTCCTTAAAATAACAAAATTTAATAACACTATTATTGAAATTTGAAAGTAAATATTCTATTAGTATTTGAATTTTTAGGTGGAGGTTGGTAACATAAAATTTTGAGTATAATCGTATTCAATTGTCGGAATAACAGATTGAACAAATTTAAGAAATATTATTAAATACATGTGGACTCCAAGTTCTCTTCCTCCTTCCATTACTGTCTCTATAATTTTCTTCATCACTTCTGCATGTCTGAAAATACAAATTAAATTATTTATTTTAAAAGGTAAATAACTTTGAATTGAAAAATATATAAAATATTAATTTTTTTTAACATTTAAATATTCAAGTCCTTAATTTAAATGTAAATATCCGTTTGATATAAATCATCGCAGCCTTGTTTTTTTTATAATTATCTATAACGTATTACACAGACCTGCAGGGATGTACAGATGCCATAGGTGGTCCTGGAATGTGTGGATGAATTTCCATTGTAACAGTCTTTCTGGCATGATCTTGACTTACATCTTCATACATTTGATCAACACTGAGAGGTTTTCGATTCTAAAAATATATTGTAAACTATTAATATCTTATTTGATATTTTACTTATTTAAAATAAATCTAAGAACATTAAACAAAGTTTTTAAAGATTTTGAAGAAATGAGCTACTTCTTTAGTTGCTAAATACACAGGTCTACAAAATAAGACGTTTTTTTTAGTTGTCGGAGAGGTTTCCAATGTATTTTTGTGTGCTGAACATGATCCCGGATTCCGAAATTGCGTATCACGTCAGAATTTTGAGTAAAGAGGGGGTAAATTAAAATTTTTAAAAAAATGAGGGTAAATTCCCCAAAAACCCTGTTTTTAAGGTAAGTGTTTCCAGTATTTTTTCTCCTTGACCTGACGTGATAGAGTTTCCTATATAGGCTTAAATTAAAGTTTGAAACGTACATTTTAAGACCCATATTCGCATAATAAAAAAAATTTTGGAATTTAAAAAAAATGGAGATAATGACCCCAATAATTTTTTTTAGGTGACTTGAACCTTTTTTTTCAAAATAAAATTTTTTTTTTTATCTTGCACATATGAGTCTCAAAGTGTAAGATATAAGCTTTAATTTATGCCTATATATGTGATTATTTATTGTTTCAAATCAACAGATTTATACAAAGGAGTTTGAACTCGTTTATCTTACACCCTATAACATTATAAAAATAAGAGAAAAATAGTAATATTATCTTGCCGTTATTTCCGCATTTAAAACTTCTCTCACAAATGCCACTATGTTTTTTACATTCTCAGTATTCGCCATTCCAAGAGTCTCGATCCACTCATCTCTTATTTCTTCTATCTCATAGATGATAAAGATAAAGAAAATCAAATCCAATTCCAACTTTCTGACTACAAAAGTTACAATATTCACCCGGAATGAATTTAAAAGTTTTATTTTCTAGATTAACTGACGGTTTATATTTGTTAAATAATCTTAACTGCACAACTACCTTAATATATCTAAGCGGAACAGTTGTCAAGGAGAGAAAGTTCTGAATTCCCCTTTGCAAGTGGGGCATTAATTGCGGGTACAGAGGAAAAGAGGAAGAGTCACAAGCTCTCTTCAAATCTAAAGTTCTACATCTTTCAATATATTTTTTTATCCAAATTTTCTTATTTTTTTGTAAAGATGACAATGTAAGGTTCCTCCACTCATCCTCTGCCCCTATCTCAACAAAAAATAATTCCCTAACTTGTCGGGCCCAATTAAATTTTCTTTCAGTCATCTTACCTCCTTTCACCCTGTCCAGCTCTCTCAATCTATGAAAGCATTTTTTTGGATAGCGTTCGTCTGGCTAGGTTAGACTTTTTTGTCATCTCTTCTTTTGCAAGTAAAAAAAGGGCAGATTGAGTGAACGGTATGCCTAAGTACGTATACGTATTGACAATTTCAACCTCAGATTTAAAATATTTAAAGGTCGTTATGTTTTTATTATGGCAATGACCACCCTTTCTAAATACTACAATTTTTGTTTTTTTTTAAATTGATTTTTAATTTATTTATTTTACAATATTCTTCCAGAGCGAGGAGAATTTTTTTCATTTCAATTGGAGTATCTGCCGGTATAGCTATGTCGTCCGCATACGCTAAAAGATAAATTATTGTCTTATGGTCGATTGGTACACCTCTTCCCCTTTTGTTTTCAAAAACTCTTCAAAGTCTGCGATAAAAAGCGAAAATAATAATGGGCTTAAAACCTCACCCTGCAAAACTCCCTTTGTTATATCGACTGACTTTGAGATTCCTTTTATCGATTTGACTGACAGACTAGCTTTTCTATAAAAGTCACTTACAATGTTTACAAATTTTGTTCCGCAGCCGATGTGAAAAAGCTTATCTAATAAGATATTATGATTTAAGGAAGGAAAGGCAGATTTGAGCACATACAACTTTTTACCTTCCATATTTATTCTATTCTGAATTAATGAGTTCAAGGTGAAAACGTGATACACACCCTCTTTTTCTTCTAAACCCAGCCTGCCACTCCGGTATAATATGCAATTTGTCGGTCCAATTCGTTAATCGATCTGCCAAAATTTGTGTAAAAATCTTTGAAATACCATTTGTTAACGCTATAGGGCGATAATTAGCAAGAACAGAAGTTTCGCCACTTTTATAAATCATCCTTACCAACGAATGGGACCAGTTTTTTGGCATCTTCTCATCTTTCATTATTTTATTAAATAATGAGTTAACATATAAGACCAGGTTGGCAGGCAAGTTTTTTAAAAATTCATAAGAAATACCATCAGATCCTGCTGCCTTGCCTTCCTTGCATTTATTTTAACTGTTTATAGTCTCATTCAAGGTTATTTCAGATTCCAACATAGGATTATGCGATACTACTATTTGAGCTACTAAGACCTCTCGAGAGGGATATAAAAATTCGAAATAATTTTCCCAAGTAATTAAATCAATACATTCGGTTGCTTAGAGTCCGTTACCTTGGAAAGAGATTCTATTAATTTACTACTAAATGACTGTTTTTTTTGTATTATTAGTTTCATATAAATTTTTTTTCTTTCACTGTATTTACTTAAATCGTCTTCAAAAAATTTGAAAGTTTACATTGTTTAAGTAAGGCGTTAAGAATTTTTTTGGTTTCTTTACATTCGGTGTCAAACCAAGGCTTAGAATCTCTAAACTTCCTTGGTCCATTAATAACCATCTCAGCTTTTTTTGCAGCGTTTTTAATAGCCATAATTAAGTTATTGGCAAGGGCAAGGGTTTTTCTAAACCTGTATTTGAAGGATACTGTATATTATCTTTATAAATTTCTACCTTTTCATTATTCCATTTAAATACAGGATAATTATTATTAGTTGTATTGTAATATTTTTTACCAAAATCACTGTCTAAAGTCATTGCAATGGGAAAATGATCAGATTTAGTTATCACATTTAAAACCTTGAAATCATCGATTAAATCAGCACTAATTGGGTTCGCCCACGCAAAATCAATAATAGATCTACTCTTACCTCTTATAAATGTGTATTAAGATGGTGAATCGTTTTTCGTCCTTCCATTCAAAACAAACATACCCAACTCTTCAAAGCATTCAGTGATTAACTCGCCACGCTTATCTACATTTACATCAACACTACTTCTATCACCTGAAATGTCTGTATATGAGAAAAATTCATTTTCCAAAATGTTCTTTTCGCCTATTTTACAATTAAAATCACCCCCTATTATTAGAGGTAAATTTAGGTATTTCAAAGATATTTCGGGTGTACTTCCGAAAAGGTCCCCCCTTTAAATTTAATAAAACACGGGTATTCTTACGTATTTTGGTGCATAGATTACGAAAATCATAGTGAAAATTGGCGCAAATTTGATTATCATGGTAAAACCCATAAAAAACCCCATAAAATAATGGTTTTTTACGATTATCTCGTAAAAAACAAAAAATTTCGAAAAAAGTTTTAAACAAAAGTTGTAGATCTCAAAAAAACACACATTTTATGTTTTAAGCATTTTTTACCAAAAATCATTATTTTTCGAGAAAAATCCAAAAAACGAAAAACACCATGATAATGAAAACATATACAGCAGTCATGGTTAGACATATTATTTGACTCGTATATAGTATCATATTCACCATTAGTCAGGATCTAACGAATTCCGCAAAATACTTTCGGCCATATCCACCCCCTCTCGCCAAGGTTTTTTTTAAAAAGAAAAGCGAGCAGTACCTTACCCGGCCGAAGGCCGTGTTTACTATTTTGCGTTTACCGCAGCTGTGGACTCCACCCCACAATTTCCGCAAATTACTTTCGGACACATCCACCCCCTCTCGCCAAGATTTCTTAAAAAGAGAAGAGAGCAGTACCTTACGCGGCCGAAGGCCGTGTTTACTATTTCACTTCACCCCACAATTTCCGCAAATTACTTTCGGACCATTTTTCTCGAAAAATAATAACTTTTGGTAAAAAATTCATAATACATAAAATGTGTGTTTTTTTGAGATCTACAACTTTTGTCTAAAACTTTTTTCGAAATGTTTTGTTTTTTACGAGATAATCGCAAAAAATCATGATATTATTGTGTTTTTTACGGTTTTTACCATGATAATCAAATTTGCGCCAATTTTCACTACGATTTTCGTAATCTACGCACCAAAATACGTAAGAATACCTATGTTTTATTAAATTTAAAGGGGGGACCTTTTCGGAAGTATATTACTAATTTAATATCATTTATAAATTTTGTTATCTCTGAAGTTGGGTTATTATATATTGTACCGATTATAAGAGAAGTTTTACAGATCATTAATTTGAAAAAAATGAATTATTCTGACATACTTATCAATTGCATCTTATATTTCCTTTTATTAGATATCACAAGTAAACCTCCCTTCGCATGACCTTTGACATGTTTTTTTTTTGCCAAACTTGAAATCAGATGGAGATCGGGGTTCTGTAGATATCCAGTTAGAGGAGTTGTAGATGTTGCCCAGGTTTCACTCAAACATATTATATCACTATCGGAAGTATGGTCCAAGATGTCATCTAGATTACTTAGTCCCCTGACATTCCAGAAGATAATCCTTAATGATGAGACACACTGGACAGCTGCTGATGTTTTTCTGGAGGAGCAGGTTTCTCCATCGTCCTTTTTCGAAAAAAGATTTTATTGAATTATTATTTGAAGTGACTTTTGTTTTCTTTGTTTTTATATCAGTCAATGTTTGTGGTTTTTTCATTCGCAACCTTTTCCGACTACCTGTAGAACTTTGTGTTTTAATCGAACTTTCGTCATCAGTGGTGTTATCTTCATTTGTCTCAGCGATTAATACTCGAATCTCGGCTAGATTATAATATTTCCCATCATAAAGTAATTTCGTTCCTCTGATAGCAGACTGCTTATCTTGAGTGTTCAAAATATTTTGAAAATGTTTCAATTCTTTACGTATCTGTTGTTGTTCTTGGGTGAAATCTACAGAGAATGACACATCCATTGAACGAAGAATTTTCGCATTTTGAAATATTAAATCTCTATATTTCAGGTTAGAGAACTTTATTAAAATAGGTCTAGGACCGTTATTTCTTCCTAATATAAAAATTGATTCAATGTGTTCCTCGGGAATATTTATAGCCGATTTTTTGAAGATCGATTGCACAGATTCAAGCAGGTTCTTTCTTTCAGTTGTTGAGTATTGAATATTATACAGAATAATATTCTTTGCTCTATTATTAATGTCCAAAAGCTCCAATCATTTTTCTAATGAATGAATTTCTTTGCTATGAGTAGTGATTTTCTTTTCTAAAGTAACACAATTTGATTTACAGGCCTTCAAGTCTTCGAGAATTTCCTCATGGGAGTTTTTTTAAAGATTTTACATCTTCCTTAATGTTATCCATTTTTGTCATAGATTCTTTAACATCACTTTGCACTGAGAGCATAAGCTTCACTTAAGTCATTATTAGTAGTTTCCATAACTGTTAATGTTTAACGTAACACTTTAATAAAAACAATCTCGTTTTAATCGAGCTATAAAACTACACACTCGCACGGAGCAAAACGAAAACACGTCTATACTCTACGAAGGCCAGAGCCAAACTCCTAATTTATGCCTATATAGAAGTCTCTATCACGTCAGGTTAAGGAGAAAAAAAAAACTGAAATCCCTCAAAAACGCGGTTTTTGGAAACTTTATCCCCACTTTACTCGAAATCCTGACGTGATACGCAATTTTGGAACCCGGGATCGTGTTCAGGACACAAAAATACATTGCAGAACCACTCTGATATCTGATAAAAAAGTACCTTGTAGACCTGTGATATCCATCTTCACTCATACATTTATTAACGGTAAAATGTATTAATAAAATAGTGAAAATACCTCATCGTAACCAAACAACCATAGCCTCGGAGTTTGGTAATATTTATCATATGTGATATGCAAGTCGTAAGTTCGTGTGTGTATAATTTCTCCTTCTGGAAAAGAATCTCTCATCTCTTTTGTTGACTTTTCTATACCTTCAGTATACTGTAAGCAATTAATAAAATTAATCTTTATTGAATATAAAAATCTTTGTCGTGAGTTGCTATTTCTTAAACATTTTTATCTTTTTATTTCCATATTGTTCAAAATTTATTGTTTGAATCTCATAACAAGAAGCTTTGAGATTAAAAATCTTAGAATACGGATTGGTATTGGAAAATGCTATTTCAGTTGACAATTCATTATAAAATCTCAAAAACAAGTGCAAGATGAAACTAATCCGAAAATTTATGCAAGACAATTCTTAATCATTCTTCAATTCAAATTAGCGTTCAATATGATTTTTTCTCGAAATATTTTTTAAAAATGGATTAATATATTAGTTTAAAATTTAAATAAAATAATAATATATAATAAATTTTAATAGAATTTTTACTCACATTAAATAGTTTCAAGGTAACCATGTTTCACAATTTGTTAAAAAAATTTAATGCAAAAAAATTATCTTATTATAAACATATTCTGAATTTTTAATTTCATTATTTAATTAATTAGTTATTAATAGTTAATTAATAATTTATTTATTTTTATTAATTGAATTACATTTCCTGTTTTTCAATTATGTAATTACGAACTTTATAATAAATTTTCATCAAACGGATATGAAGTTGATATTTTTAAATATAAGATAATTTATATATTTATTTATTAAATATAAAATTATTTATTTATGGATTTTTTACAAATATAAAATAAACAAAAACTTTATTTTTAAATTTAAATATTATAAATTTTTATTCTGAAAATATATTCGAAGTTCCTATTACGTTCATATTCTTATTGTTTAAATAGGTAAATAATTTTGAATCGATAGTGATATGAGAAATCAGTAACAAAAAATTCAAAAACAGAAAACTTTAAAATATTATGTTTTATAAGCATAAAAGTAAACTAAATAAATTCCTATTTTGAAATAAATTAATGAATGAGCTATTATTTTTGAAAAAAAATTATAAGTACGTAATAGGAACTTCGAATATAATTTCACAATAAAAATTTATAATATTTAAATTTAAAAATAAAGTTTTTGTTTATTTTATATTTACAATTATTATCAAGTTATCAATAACTATTATTGCTTTTATTATTAAATTTATTTATTAAATTTAAGTAAAGAAAATTTAAATATTAAAAAATTTTGTAAATCATGGACATTGATATCGAATTAAACTATTTAACGCATTCAATAACTTTCGAAAAGATTTCAAAAAAATCTTATTTATAAATGAAAAAATAAGGTAAGCATATTAGAGTTAATTATAAATTAATTAATTATTTAGAGAAAGAATCATATTGAACGCTAATTTCAGTTGTTATTTTCTTGCTTTGGATTTTGAGATAGCATTATCTTGCATAAATTTGCGGATTAGTTTCATCTTGTTTTTGAGTTTTTATATTGAATTGACAACTGAAATAGCATTTTTTCAACGGGAGGCATTTTTACAGAATGAAACAGAGTAATGTTAAAAAATGTACCTTATCTTGTTCATCAAGCATTCCACTAACTTCGAAAGCTTCCATATCAGCGGCTTCTTCGTCATCTTCATCTGTGTCAAGATCAACTCTCGAAGAAGAAGGTTGTGGTGTTTCTTCTAATGACATTTCCGTTACTTTTTCATCAATTCCTCCAAGACTTGGATCATAGTGATGTGTATCTACCCATCCTCCTTCTGGATCATCAATTTCTATAATTTGTTCCAATTCATCACAGTACTCAATCTGCATTCAAAAATTTAATTCTACTTTTAAAAATTAAGACAAAAGGTGGAAACAAGAAGGGGTGGACATTTATATTACATAAATGTGATGTTCATTTCACGAACATTATGCTTCCTCGCAGAAAATATTTAATTTAATTTACATTTACAAAATTTTTGAAAATTTTTATTAAGAAAAAAGAAAAAAAAATTTTTAACAAAAACAAAAAATTTAAATTTTTTGAAAAAATAAAAATAATGATTTAATCTATAAATTTAGGTAAAATATGAACTTAATATAGGTTAAAAAATTTGTTTTAACGCAAAGAATACGTTTTCAAAATAAATAAAGTAAAATTCTTATAATAAAAAGCTTTTTTATCAAAGAATGTATTTTTGACTTTTTGAAAAAATGGTCCCAAAAAAATTGTGTGGATATTTTTGGAAATCCTTGTGTCCGATTTTTGGTATTAGTAAGTAGAATTAGAATGCAAAATTTCAGAGCGATCTGTCAACATTTGTTTGAGATAATTTGTACACAAGAAGCGGTGCTATTCACAACACACACATACATACATCCGGACATTTGTTCCTCATGTCGAAATATAACTATATTAATTAAAAATTTATTAAAATAATTGATTTTAGGAAGTTCGAAAATTGTCATCACTATAAAGCTTCCTACGAGGAAGAAAATAAGAACAATTCTGAATTTCCGTATCCCGCCGTCTAAATATTACATTAATAATATTTCGTAAGAGAAAATGAACAGAGAAATAAAGAAAAAGCTTCGTTCTGAAATATAAAATTTTTTTTATTTACAAAATTACTTTTCAATTGTCACGTATTTAAATTACAGAAAAGAAATATTAATTTATTAAAACTTTTCTTAAAAAGTACAGAATTTGAGGTAATAAAAAATAAGATCCGGAACCTATTAATTTTATACAAAAAAAAGAAAGAAAATTTAAGCCATAATATTATAAAATATATTTTACATACCTGTTTACATCGACGGCTGCAAGGTACATTACGAGTAAGTAAAAATTGCTTATCTTTTGGTAAATATGATTTAGCTCTATCTACATCACCTACAGCCCATTGCCAGGTTGGACAGTGGTGGACAAGATGTTCTCCGGCTGCGACAAATTCTTCAGGAGTTAAAACCCCAGTTTCTTTGAATTTGCTTTCCTGTATCACGAACATTGAAAATGAATTAATAACATGAGAATTTTAGAAAATTAAAGAAAATATAAAATTTAAGGAAATACAATGTAGAAGAAAAAATTTTACAGATAAATCAAGAACTTTAGAATTCACTACCATTCTTTTATTCAGAATGTCGTTGAGAGTTGTATTCTTATTTGTACTTTTCATTTGATCAATTAGAAAAAGGAATATTGAGAACTGGTCTAAATAAACAGCCAAAATTTAGTCCCAAGGAAAAACATATATTTTATAAAGTTAAAATAGAATCAAAGTACTATTTCTTACATAGATAAAAAAAACGTGTTCAATAATGTGTTTGTGTTTATAATGTATATTTAACTTACTCTGATTTATAAATTTAAATAAACGTTCCTTCTTTATTTTTATATTCTCACAATGAAAAGATCCTTAACTTTGAGTTAAATTCATAAAACTCAACTCAGTAACTTTGTAACAACTCTTCAAATCAATAATAAATCAGTATTCAAATCAATAAAATCAAATAAAAATTTAATAAATCAATCAATAAAATCAATATTCAATCAATATTCAAAATCAATCTAATCGATATTCAAATCAAATCAGTATTCAATAAATCAATCAATAAAATCATTATTCAAAATCAAATCATTAAAATCAATATTAAATCGATAAACCAACTCAACAAAATTACTTTTAAATTGCACAAGCACACAAAAAAGTGTTTTGTCCGAGGCACTACACAAGTGTATTCTCACATATTTTTCGCCGCTGAATTCAAATCCGAAATCAGATTAGCTCTTGTTTTTAAGTTATACTCAAAAAACGACTCAAAATTACTAATTGAAATAAAAAAAAAAAAATTTTGTCACTACAATAGTATATTCCCATGTATTTTTTCTCGCTAAATCCGAATTCGAAGTCAGAATTGTCCGATTGGCTCAAAAATTTGAGATAAACTCAAAAGTGATAAAAAAATTAAAATCAAAAAAAGGAAAATTTTTTTGGCCAAGACACTACATTAGTGTATTCCCATGTATTTTTTTCCACGCTGAATCTGAATTCAAAGTCAGAAATCTCCAATTGGCTCAAAATTTTGAGATAAACTTGGTATACATACGTATTTTCGCCAGTAAATTAAACGAAAATTATAGCGAATCCGATTGGAATTAAATTGAATATAGTTATATTCTAAAAACTCGAAATTTCGGAAAAAAGTGTGTGTCCCCCTTAACTTTTACAGTTTTGGAGCTAAGAAGCTGAAACTTGGTATACATACGTAATTTTGCGAGTAGATTAAAGGAAAATTATAGCGAACCCGATTGGAATTGAATTGAACATAGTTATATTCCAAAAACTCGAAATTACGGAAAAAAGTATGTGTCCCCCGTCTTAACTTTTACAGTTTTGGAGCTAAGAAGATGAAACTTTGTAAACATACGTATTTTTGCGAGTAGATTAAAGAAGATTATGTTGTAAAATTGTCAAATTTTTTCATACATTATTCTATATTATGCCGGAAGTCAAAAACATTAGTACGACAGTATGGAAATTGCATAATTTTTGCTTGAAATCTTTTCGGTGTTATAAAGACAAAAAAAAAAAATTTACTTGATATACATTCAGAAGAAGAATTTTATCAGCTTTCCAACCATCTAAGTTAGAAGTCTCTAACTTTTTTCTAACTTGAAATATCTTGCTTTAAAGTCAGCGCCGAATTTCCACACGAAATTTAATAAAATTTGGTGAGCATATAGAATAATTATGTCTCTTTGAAATGCAATAGAAATTTCAATTAACCTTTATTGTTTATGCAAAAAAATGGCTTATTTAATAAACAAATTAATATTTAAACTATTTCTCATGTGTTTAGGAAAAAATTATAGATATATATATTATTATAACTATGCGTCGAAGCCTATTCTCTGTTATCGAATGATAATAATTTATACTAATACTAATTTGGCTAAATAAAAATTTGGTTTAGCGAAAATTTAATTAAATAAGAATTTGGTTAAATAAAAATTAGGCTTTAATAACAATCTATTAAAAAACATTCGGTTAAATAAAAATTCTGCTACTGAAAAATGTGGTTCTACGTTAAATTAATTTTCTAAAATTCAAACTTAGTACGCATGGAGCGTCCAAATTAAAATCTTTTCGATGAAATAACAAATTCATTGGCGATTCAAACAGCTACACTAGCGCCACAGTTGAACTAATTTAGGCGTGACTCGCTCTAAAGCAGTCTCTGTTTTGACAGTTTATTTCAAATTATTTAATTATTCTGATATTTTTATTGCGTTTGTAAAATTATTTTTAAGCGTTAAATAAAAAAAAATAATTTAAAACACATGGAGTGCTACAGAGCGAGTCACGCCTAAATTAGTTCAACTGTGGCGCTAGTGTAGCTGTTTGAATCGCCAATAAAATAAAATTTGTTTGTATATTTATAAGAACAAATTTAATTTTATCAATTCATAAAATTATTTTTATATTATTTTCATCTTTTCGATGAAATGATTTTAATTGGGACGCTCAATGTGTACTAAGTTTGAATTTTAGAAAATTAATTTAACGTAGAACCAAATTTACCGAATTTACCGAATAACCGAATTGTTTTTAATAGAATTTTTATTAAAGCCTAATTTTTATTTAACCAAATTCTTATTTAATTAAATTTTCGCTAAACTAAATTTTTATTTAGCCAGATTAGTATTAGTATAAATTAGTATCACTAGAGAAAATTTTACATTGGAATGTAAAATTTCCTCTAGTGATACTAATTCTGTTACTTGCAAAATAATTCAATGAATATTCGTTTTTTGAAAAAATTCTCAGAAACCAGTTGTAATGAAAAGTTATATGATTGTTAAATAATAAAATAAAGAAAATATTTGATATTCAAGAATTCTAGTCAATAATTCGATAACAGAGAATAGTCTTCGACGGGTAGTAGCGCGCTGCGCGCGGCACTGGTGACTGTTCCAGCGCTTGACCAATTTTTTTTTATTTTAAGTCTTTTTTTGTGCAGTTTTTTGAGTTTATCTCAAAATTTTGAGCTAATCGGACAATTCTGACTTTGAATTCAGATTCAGCGGGAAGCACATGGGAATATACTAATGTAGTGACATAAAATTTTTTTTTATTTTAATTAGTCTTTTTTGAGTATAACTCAAAAACAAGAGCCAATCTGCCTATTCTGATTTCGGATTCTGATTCAGCGGCGAAAAATACATGGGAATACACTAGTGTAGTGTCTCGGCTAAAACACTTTTTTTGTGTCTCACTCGGAGACCTCACTTGAAAGACCTCAATTTCTCATCGACAATTGATTTTATTGATTGACAAAAAGAGTGGGAAAAATATAATGAATTTAATTGTCGCGAAGTTACTTCTTGCAACTTTGCAATTTTAGGTAGTGGCGTGATTCAACTTCGATGCGCCACTCCTTGAATTGAGAAATTATGTAGCTCAATATGTAAGGGAATAGTTCCGCTTATGTGGGCACCCTTTTGTTTATGGCTCATAACTTTTAACCAAATGCATATTATGCGACTTGTGTGTATCAGTGGCAATCTAGAGACCTTAGGTAACTGTATAAAAAAACTAAATTGATTCCTTCAATTGGAAAGATTTTATGAAAAAATTAGGGAAGTGATCATTTTTAGTGAAAAAAAGTAATACCCTGTTGTGTACACCCTAGGAGAATCCGCAAAAAAATGAAGGAAAACCACCACAATTGAAATGAAAATGATAATTGCTGAATAACACGGGATATTCCAATCACATTCTTGGAATATTTCATTAGAATATTGGGAATATTTTAAAATAATATTCCATTTACATTCCAGGAGCATAAAAATAACCACTTTTTGAAATATTCTTTTGAAATGTTGCAATAATATTTGGATATTTCATAGGATTACTTCAGGAATATTTCTTTGGAATATTGTGGGAATATTTCATTGGAATATTGTGGGAATATTTCATTGGAATATTTTGGGAATATTCAAATAAAAAATTATACAAATATTTTAATATGAATAATACATCAATATTTTTGAAAAAAATAAAAATTACATCATATTTTTCGAACTTACAAGAATATTCCAAAGGGACATTCTAAAGGTCGGATATTTTTATATTCTTAGAACATCAATGAAATATTCCAAAGGATTATTTCAAATAAAGCAATGGAATATTATGAAAATATTCAATTCGAATATTGTGGAAATATTCCATTGGAATATTGTTTTTATTAATTGTTATAATTATTAATTATTATTATTTTTAATATTAGGTATTAAAATATAATTTTAATTAAAAAAATTTAATATAAGAAATTAATAATGCAAAAATGCATATAAATTTTTTAAATATTAACATTTTTCAATGGGATTTGGATTATTTTTTTCAGAATATAAAAGTATAATCAACTTTTTAAAAAAGTGATTATTTTTAACAAAAATGATATTATAAAGGTTTTCAGGAATGCTGATTACGAAGATGATGTCAAATTTAGTTTGTCAGTTGACAGCTGTCAATTCAACAATCAAGTATTCTAAACAGTGATTATTTTTCACAAAAATGGTAGTATACCAGGGGTTTGTCAGGGTTGTTGATTCCTAATATAATGACAAATAATTGTCAATTTGACATCATATTCGTAATCAGCGACCCAAGAAGCCCTGTTTTTTTTTAGAAAAGTTGACAGTTTAATTGACAGCTGCAAACGGTCAATTTGACATAACCGTAATGAGCGACCTCGAAAACTCATATAACGTTAATTTTGTTAAATATAATTATTTTTTAGAAACTTCGACTGTTGCATTAACAGCTGTCAACTGTAAAATTGTCAATTCGACATAAAATTTATAATCAGCGATTTTGAAAACACCTTGTATGGTGTTTCATTAGTTTATATCTGCTATCAATTTTTCTTCGGTGTTAAAAGTTTAATTACATATACGCATTAATTGAAAAAAACAAGTGTGCCCACAACCGGCACTCTTCCCTTACATTGATTTATAAAGAATTAAAATGGTTATCTTCTTATATGTGTAATAGGCGGCAAGTTGTTAAAATTAATTGTATTTTTTCTTATGAATTTTTTTCGACTTCAGGTGTGCCGCAGGGCTCTCATCTAGGTCCATTTTTGTTTTTGATTTACTTAAATGACATAAATTTTTGTTTTAAAAGAAGTAAGTTTCAAATATTTGCTGATGATTTAAAATTTTTTTAAATTATTTATGAACAAAATAGTACGTATGATTTACAGGGCGATCTGGATAGAGTGTACCTGTGGTCCACTATGAATTTTTTACCATTGAACACATGTAAATGTACAGTAATGTCATTTTGCAGAAGGTCCAGAGTTGACAAGTTTTTTTTATAATATTGATGGAGTGCCACTGGAGAGGGTAAGCCGACAGCGGGATTTGGGACTGATGTTGGATAGTACTCTTACATTAAATGATCATGTTTCATTTGTTGTAAATAAGTCTCTGTCTGTTCTTGGTCAAATTGTAAGATCTACCTCAGTCTTTTTTAATCTTCGCGTTCTTAAGGTTTTATTTTTTTCTCTAGTCAAACCTCACTATGAATTCCTCTCTGTTATTTATTCACCTTATTATAATTGTCATATGTTAAGATTGGAAAGAATTCAAAATAGATTTTTGAGATTCGCTGCAAGACAGCTAAATATACCGTATGATTATTATAGTCATGATTACACAGAACTACGCTCTATTATGAAAATTCCTTCTGTTCAGGATAGATTTTTGCGACTTGACCTCCAATTTCTTTATAATATACTAAATGGTTAAATTGACTGCCCTGCATTACTGTCTGGAATTTCGCTGTCGGTTCCTTACATAACATTAAGAAATAAGTCGACGTTTAAGGTGCCTTTCAGTCGTTCGAATCTTGGCAGTAAATCCACATTGGTACAACTTTGTAGAGAGGCAAATCATGCGATTAATTTGGATTTTTTTGACAATTGTAAATCGAGGTTCATGAATGATTTGTCTAAATATTTGAATTCTATCGATTGAACTACGGCCTCGCACTATTCATTTACACCTTATTGTATTTTCTCTTTATTACTTTTTTTTGTATTATAAAGGGTACTTTGTAAACCCGTGTATAACTAAATAAATAATAAATAAAGTGATTGAACTTTATTTACGAAACTTTTATTAAAATTCAAGACTTTTACTCTATATTGAGGTTCTTTACCTTGTATTTCCTAATATTCTCGATATTTATTTAGTAATGCTAAAATGAAGACATTTGCTTGGTTCTTAATTTATTTATAAATTAATTTAAAAAACTATGTTTGTGTTGAATGTTTGTATCTATGTGTTTTATAATTCTATTTATCGTTTATTATAATTAGAAGGAGGATTTAAATCATTATGTGGTTTAAATCTTACAATAATTAATTGAATTTAAGTATTTTTATTTTTTTGAAAAAGTCCATTTTGTAATTAAAAAAAAAAATTTTTCTTATATATTTTAATCAATTTTTTTGCAAAAATATATTCTAAGCATAAAAACGAGTGGATTGATCCAAATATTATACATATTTTATTTAAATTTATAAAATTAATAGATATTTTTAAGTAATGTAAAATTCAAGTTTTTTCATACTCTTGTTTTAAATTTGTTTAAGTACATGATAAACATTAAAACAGAGCTAAGAAAACAAGGAGGGGGTCCTTTATGTTTATTTCATAAACATTATGCTTCCTCATTGTTTGAAGCAAAAAATTCGCTTCCTCGTGAAGGAAGCAATGAATTTCTCCAATTCAATTGATTGATTTAAAAAATTTCGAGTTAAAAATGTTTTAAATTAATTAAATTTTTTGAAAAATAAAGAAAATTTTAATTAATTTTGAGTGTAACATAAACTTTATATATACGAATCGATTCGTTTTAATGCAGGGAATAAAATTATTTCATATATAAACATGAATTTAAATAATCACATCATTTTTTATCTAAAATGAGAATTTTTGATTTTTTAACTTCCATTAATTCTTTAAATTTCAATCAAATCTATACTTTATATATATCAATCGATTCATCTTGACATAAAGAAGACGATTATATTATATATTACCTTAAATTTTTCGATTTAAAATTTTTTTCAATTAAAAAAAAATTTTTGGAAAAAAGACGATAAAATTTTTTTTTTGGGGTATTTTTAAAAATCCTCTCGTCATTTTTGAGAGATTAATGTGTTAAATAAGCCTACCAAATTTTACCCAAATCCATTAAAACCTGTTAAAGATATCGTGTTCACAAAAACTATCCACACACACATACACACATACATACATCCGGACAATTGATCAGGATCTCATATAACATGTTTCTATATAGAGGAAAATTTGTTTTCACCATTTTTAAAAATTTTATAAACGAAAGGACTACATAGCTTCCTCCACGAGGAAGCAAAATAAATAAATATTTAATTTTTTAAAAAAGTTTATTTTTTTCAAATAATTTTTTTTAATAGAGATTTTTTTTTTTAAATATCGGATGGAGAATTGGATTTTCTTTATTGTCAGTAAGTCATTACGTTTTATGAACAAAAGAAATTTTAATCTCAAAAGTTTTTGTAATTATTATTTTTCTTCTCCCACTCCAGGACAGCGTTGAGAATTTCTTAATCTGCTTAATAAAATATTACAATAAAATGAAATATGGAAAAAACCACAGACTTCTACAAAGAAGTAAAAGTCTACCCTCTTATTTAATGAGTATTTTTTATGAAAAACGCATAAATCCAAAATATCTAAGACTGATCTATTTATGAACCATTTGTGATCTACCAATGATAAGTTAATGGTTTTCGAGTAATTAAAAATTTATAGTTAATAAGCAGCAATTTTGTACGTTAAATTTATGTCATTGTTACAAAGGTTTTTATATTCTATTGTCAGTACTTTGTTATTCTATAAAACTGTCAGTTGATACCATTATGTCCCTCTACCCACCAGTGACAGAAAAAAGTATTTTTCTAATAACCAAAAACATGGTAAACAATAGGAAACAAAGAAAATTTTATGACAAATAAAAAATGTTCATGATATTCATGAATTAAGCATAAATAATTTAAATTTTTTCTTTTCCAGTGTAAAATACATAAAATTTAAACATAACCTAAATTTGATGTAAATTTCTTAAATATTTTATAGAGTAATAAATTTATTAAATTCAGATTTTTATTTAACCATAAGGCTACTATGAAAAAGAAATACAAAGAAAATTGATGTTACATATTAGACAGATAGATGCAATGATAAACAGACGTAAGTTGTTCATTATTATTTGATTCTATAAACATAAACAAACATCTTCTTACCTTTAATATTGGAGTTAAATATTCTGCAACACCAAGTGCAGTGCCTTTAACTGAATTTATTACACTTTGCATGGTTTATTGGTATTTATAAAATCCTGAAGTAGATGAAAACAATCAAATCGGTCTTATTTATTCAATCCAACCAATAACTTTTCATAAAAATTGTAAGAACAAAATACTCAACATTTCTGTACAATATTTAAGAGTGAATTACTGTCAAAAATTTATTAATTATAAATATTATGACATTAAAGTCCCGCCGTTTAGTGATAATTTAAAGTCGAACATTCGAAATATGAAACGTCTATTGGGTGAAACATCTCGGGTGTGTCAGCCAACGCAGAATAGAAACGTAAGGCTGCAGTCCCATGGTAGCGTTTTGCGTTGCGTTTTGTCACTAGACCATGAGTGTAAAAGAGATGCAGATATATGTTTGCTATGTTTACACTCAGGGTCTAGTGACAAAACGCAACGCAAAACGCTGCCATGGGACTGCAGCCTAACCAGAATCGTAATCGCAAACGCAACGGGAGGAATGAGTTAAGGCCTTTCTTCAATAGGATCCTAAACTCTTGCGTTGCGTATGCATTGCGTCGGTTGCTATTGGCAACCAATGCTAAAATCAACCCGTCAGTCACGCAACGCAAAAGTTTAGGTTCCTATTGGAGAAAGGCCTTTAAGGCGTTTCTCCAGTATGATCCTAAACTCTTGCGTTGCGTGACTGACGCGTTGATTTTAGCATAGGTTGCCAATAGCAACCGACGCAACGCATACGCAACGCAAGAGTTTAGGATCTTAAAGGCCTTTCTCCAATGGAACCTAAACTTTTGCGTTGCGTTACTGACGCGTTGATTTTAGCATTGGTTGCCAATAGCAACCGACGCAATGCATACGCAACGCAAGAGTTTAGGATCCTATTGGAGAAAGGCCTTAAGTTGGCTCTACATTGAACGTGTACGTGAACACGACGTGCTGACGTCACAATGTTAATCAAGTCGGTTCTACAATGGGCTTGACGTGAACGCGACGCGCTGACGTCACAATGTTAATCAGGTTGAGTCCAGAATAGACCAAAAACATGAACGTATACGTAACGTCACAATGTATTTTAAGTCGGTTCTACAATGGACACGTTTGTACGTGAACGTGTACGTACCGTGCTGACGTTACCCACTTGCACAACATTGTGACGTCAGCACGTTCACGTTCGCTTACAAACGTGCCCATTGGAGAACTTAAAGTCGGTTCTCCAATGGGCACGTTTGTAAGCGAACGTGAACGTGCTGACGTCACAATGTTGTGCAAGTGGGTAACGTCAGCACGGTACGTACACGTTCACGTACAAACGTGTCCATTGTAGAACCGACTTCAAATACATTGTGACGTTACGTATACGTTCATGTTTTTGGTCTATTCTGGACTCAACCTCAAATGGGTGACGTCAGCACGTTGCGTTCACGTTCGCGTCGCGTACCATGGATTGTATGGAGGTTCTACAATAGGTGCAAAAGCTAAGTACAAGTGCAAGTCCAAATGCAAATCCCATGAGTGCAAGAGAGATAGATAGACTACCTATTCCCTTCGCACTCATGAGATTGACACTTGGACTTGCACTTGTACTTGGCTTTTGTACCTATTCTGGAACCACCTGTAGAGCCGACTTTAGGCCCTTTCCAGAATGGAGCTAAACGCAACTCAAACGCGACGCATCCCCATTTGCTTAGCATTGCGATGCGTTTGGCTCCATTCTGGAGAAGGCCTTTATGAAGCGGTCACACCTCGGCTGCTATATATGAAACGAGCATAAGTTGGTTTCGCCTCGTTACGAGGTGGCGCGTAGAAGCCTCCGTATATTAGAGAAAGGCTTTAAAGGCTGCAGTCCCATGACAGCGTTTTGCGTTGCGTTTTGTCACTAGACCCTGAGTGTAAAAGAGATGCAGATATATGTTTGCTATGTTTACACTCAGGGTCTAGTGACAAAACGCAATGCAAAACGCTGCCATGAGACTGCAGCCTAAGGCGCCGTCCCATGGCAGCGTGAAACGCCAGCGTAAAAGCAGAAAGCATGAGAACGAAAGAGATAGTGAGATATCTTCATCTCTTTTGTTCTCATGCTTTCCGCTTTTATGCCAGCGTTTCACAATGTCATAGGACGGCGCCTTTAAGTCAGTTCTACAATAAGCGCGTCGGACGTGGACGCGAACGTGGACGTGCTGACGTCACAATGTTATTCAAATGGGTGACGTCAGCACGTTCACGATCGCGTCCACGTCCGACGCGCTTATTGTAGAACCAACTTTAGAACCAACCTCATGGGACGGCGCCTTAGGCTGGTCGCACAAGAAAAGACCGAGCAGTGTGCAGGATGTGTTTCAAATGAGATAGAAAAAGAAAGAGCGATATTTTTCTTTTTCTATCAAATTTGAATCACATCCTGCACACTGCTCCGTCATATCTTGTGCGACCAGCCTTAATGCTGTTTCTACACTCACCGAAAACTGAGCGAGCGGTCCGCTTTTCCGTGACGCTTCCCATATTTAACTATATCGATATATATAAAGTTGGTTCTACATTGAACGTGTACGTGACCGCGTACCATGGATTGTAGAGCCGACTTAAAGTCGGTTCTACAATGGGCTTGACGTGAACGCGACGCACTGACGTCACAATGTTAATCAAATGGGTGACGTCAGCACATCGCGTACCATGGATTGTAGAGCCGACTTAAAGTCGGCTCTACATTGAACGTGTACGTGAACCACTGAATTATATACTATATGGAACAGGCAGTCCTAGTCCAGGCTGTGAGAGAGACAATCCGCAGGTATCGTCCTCTTTCTCAGTTTTGTTAGTGCGCATGTGCAGAACGCGTCATCACATTGTACAGAGAGAGAAAACGATACCTGCGGATTGTCTGTCCTTTAAGCCGCGGTTAGAGATGGACTGCCTGTTCCATACAGTATATATTTCAGTGACGTGAACGCGACGTGTTGACGTCACAATGTTAATCAAATGGGTGACGTCAGCACGTCGCGTTCACGTATACGTACATTGTAGAACCGACTTAAAAAACGTAACGCAAATGCGGACCGCACGGAAAAACAAGGACACTGCATTCTTCCCGAGTATACACTTTATCAAAAGTGCGACAAAAATTCCAATAGACCTTTTCATGCTGATCGTTCTGTCCTTATCTAGCGCATACAATGACGCATGAGTTGGAAGAGGACAAAATGATCTGCATGAAATGGGATCTGAAATACTGCGATACGCCATCTGGTGAGAGCCTTGTTGTGGTGGCCATGTTTTCATTCCGTGTTTCTCTAACATATACAAAAGAAAGAGATAAAAAACCAAGATGGTTGTCACAAGAAGGCTCAGGGGTAGGTCAGTTTCGCGTGATTTCTGATCCCAAAAGGTCTATTCGGAAACGGCCCAGTGGTTTTGATGTTTGCATCTGGACTCACCTTTATGTTTATGAAAAAAGTGTAAACAATCCACAAATAGTTTTTAACAGAAAGTAAACAAATTTTCCTTTAAATTGTACACTATAAAAAAAGGTAATGAATTTTGCAGTTTAAATAGTGAAATATATTACATGATTCTGTAACGATTGTCGTTAAACAATTCTGTGATTTTACTACATTCAGGATAGTAATGATTATTTTAAGGTTAGAAATAGTTTCATGATCATTTAAATCTACTGAACATTATATATGAAAAAAATTCTAAACCGAAACTTATAAACCAATAATGAGTTTAAAAATGTATTGTTAATCTACTTTTTATTAATTGATAATGCTGAAATTAATAAGAATAATTGTTTAAATGTACATCCACGGTGAGCTTAAATAAATTGTTATGAAAGATTAAAACAACCAAGATTTTCTTTCAACATTGTATTCTAGGACAAAAAAGAAGATATTCCGAGCAAATTTCAAAATCATTTATCGAGCCCTTTTGAGAAATTTAATTTTTTTTTAAAATCGCGTATTTTATCGCTTTAAAATATTTTAATGCAAATAATTATCATAGAAATGCAAAGAATATATGAAGGGTAGAATGACAAAAGCACCAATTCACTGTTTTTACAGGAAGTAAAAAAAAACACTTTTAAAAATTTTGCAGGTCATTAAAAAAAAAACTGAGAAAACCGTTTCGATATATTAGTATGTTTTAATAAATAAACAAGAATTTTTTGAAATAAACCTACATATTAACGATAAAATTAAAAAAAACTGGTGCCTTGAGGTTATATTAACTGCGCACATTTTCTTTAAGCATTAATTATAAAAAAAAATATAAAGTTTAAAGAAAAACTGGAAAATTAGTTTCTTTCTATGGAATCGACGAAATGAATAGACAAAAAAATTCCTTTAAAAAAATGGTTGTTTTCAAGAAAATTACGAATTAATTGCTTGCTTTGGAATTGAGCAATACTTTCATCTTTAAATTCAATTGTTCACTTATTATAATCATAAAAATATTTAAAAATTAATAAAATGATTTTAAAATTGTTTAAAATTGAAAATATATTATTATTATTAATTTTATTAATTAAAATATTATTAAAATAAAATAAAAATAAAAATTTAGGTTACATATACATACGTACCTGATTTACAACTTCTTTAGCTAAAACTTTTTCCCCATTACTTTTAAAAAATATTTCACCTTCATATCGTTTCTTTTTAACAATATCTTTTTTATTAATAGATTTTTTTCCGCATCTGCGAGGCATTTTCGATTTGTAAAAAGCAATGTTTTTAAATTTGTTAAGATATGCATAATATTATTGACACACCACTTTCTTTTGTTTTTCAATCAGGTTGCAATAAAGTAAATTTGAGGCTATTTTATTAATTTAATTTTTATTAAAAACTGATTTAAATACGCAATAAAAAAGGAAATCCTTCTACAGAAATGAGTAAATGAATTTTCTTGATTTTTTTTATGCAAAAACCTCATTTTCGATAAATTGGCGCTTGACCCCTTTTGTCATTCTGTCCTTCATATGATGTATTCCACGCCAAAGTGTAAGTCCATCTGCAATTGCATCTCCAATTTTTTTGAGATTTTTTTTCTTTTAGTACTAATTGAGACTAGCTTCCATGAATTTTTTCAACTTTTTTTAGGAAGCCGTTTTCGAGTTATGGAATTTTGTAAATTGAAGAATTTTCATGACTTGTAATTTTTGAATGCTCATAACTTCCTTAAAAATGCATCAATTTTGAAAGTCTTTTTTTCAAAATGTGTGTTTTTAAACGTACTTTTCAAAAAAAAAATCGAAAATTTTTTTTAAAATCGTTTGCCCATTATCGGGTTTAAAAGTTTCGTAAAAAGAAGTAGTTTTTTTGAAAAAATTTTGAAAAAAATCGATCAATACGTCAAATGAAAAAAATGACTTTTTATCATTAAAACTCCAAAATTTTATAGTAATATCGTTAAAAAAAATTTTTTTTTTGATTTGTTTTGAAAAATACGTTAAAAAACACACATTTTAAAAAAAAGACTTTTAAAATTGATACAGTTTTAAGGAAGTTATGAACATTCAAAAATTACAAGTCATGAAAATTCTCCAATTTTCAAAATTCTATAACTCGAAAACGGCTTGTTAAAAAAATTTGAAAAAATTCATGGAAGCTAGTTTTAATTAGTACTAATAGAAAAAAAATCGAAAATGCAATTGCAAATGGACTTTCACTTTGGCGTGGAATACATCATATATACATTACAGTACCGTCGGAAATTGTCGGTACGCCTGACGTGAGAGAAGTGGAAATTTGATGCTGACTTTAAAGCAAGATGTTTTAAGTTAGAAAAAAGATAGAGACTCATAACTTAAATGCTTGGAAAACTGATAAAATTCTGCGTTTAAATGTATATCAAGAAATTTTTTTTTTTTAAGCATTTATAACACCCAACCAAAAGAGTTCTTGAAAAAATTATTCAATTTTCCAATTTTGGTACTAATGTACCAATATGACAACGTAATTTTGAAGGTCTTAGCTTTAATTTGCATATTTGAAACTTAAAAAATATTTTGCCCTCCTCACTACGGGGTTGTAGAGAAACATGCTCGAACATTTTTTAACATATTTCAAGAACTACAAAATAATTTTTAAGTTTTCAAATTTTTACACAATCTTTAAGATCTTTGCTTTAATTTGCTTTTTTGAAACTTTAAAGAAAAAATTAAATTTCTCAAAAAGGGCTCGATGAATGATTTTGATTTTTGCTCGATATATCTTCTTTTTTGTCCTAGAATACAATCCTGAAAGAAAATCTTGGTTGTTTTAATCTTTTATATTAATTTATGCTCACCGTGCATCTTTATTAGTAATTCTACAAAAAAAAATTAAAATAATTTTTTTAAATCATTTTGTAACAGTTATTGTAAATATAATAGTAATAATAGTTATTTTTTATGAACGCGCCGTAATTGATGCACTTATCCTAGTTATTTAATTAATTCTGAATATTTGACCTTATAAAAGGTTTGCAAATAGCTCTGATGAAATTTTCGGATTATTAATCAAGCAGTCTTGATAAGTGAGCGGCTGATAGCAAAAATAAGTTATAGAAATATTCAAACCAAAAGTTAGTTAATTATGTGTCATCAAAAAATGTATAATAATTAACCAAAAAAAAAAGAAATCTTTTGAAGATAAGAACAAAAACGAGATATCCTTCTATCCTACTTTTGCTCGTAGTCAAAATTATAATAACAAATAATAATTAATTAATATTATTACACTGTAAAAAGAAAGTACTAAAATAGAACCGATTTTAGGTATCAAAATAGAACCAAATGACAATTTAGTACCTAAAGTCGGTATTAAATTAATACCTTTCGTTTTACAGTGTAATAATAATTTATTCATAATTTTATTTATTTATTATTTTTTAATGAGATGAGAATTTTTATCTTACACTCGTGCGTAAAATGAAGTTTTCAAGACTTTTTGACGGAAAATATAAGAGACAGTGATTATCGACGGGTCTCTATTAACAATTAAAAATTATTAAACATTTGATTTTTAAAATTTTTCATTATGTTGTTGCCGTCTATGGATCAGAAGGCATTTAAATATAAAATTCCAAGTAAATTCATTATAATACTTATCGACGATACAACGATTTATGTTTAAAAATTGAATGAATTTTGAGAATTTAAAATTTTCTGTTTTTTTGTTATTGTTTTCTAAAGTATTCGTTTTACAAAAAAACTTAAAGGAAAAAAGATGCGTCTCTTTATTTCCTATGAGGTAGTAGCTTTTAAAAGTTAAAATTTCGATTTTCAATTTTTTTTACAATTTTCACCGTTTTACTGGCATTACTTACATACAAAAGTTGTGTTTGTACATGTACAACACATGTAGAATAGTAAAAAAAATAAATTATATAATATTTTCGATCCACAAACAAAACTTGTTGCACAACTTCTCATTTTCTCCTACTATATTTTTTTGCAATTTAAAAATTAAAATTTTTATTGTTGAAACTGTTTCATTCATTTTTTTTATTTAAAAAAACTCCTTTGTTTTAGAAACATTTCAAACCTAGTACGGTCGTGAGAAACAATTTTCACCTATTTTTTGAATTTTTTAAAATTTTCGAAATTTTGAATTTCTTAAAAGTAGCTCTAATTTTTTATACTACATTCATGTATTTTTTTTGCACTGTTTTTTATATTTTCTCGCAAACCCAATGTTGTCCCATTTTTATATTTATACAGTTTTGTTGCAAAAAATCTCAGCTTTCAAAACAAATAACAAGAAAAGTTTCTAAATTGATAAAATAAGTGTTTAAAAATGAAAAATAAGTGTTAATTTAAAAAAAATTGGGTTAAACATTATTTTGGAGTAATTTAAAATCAAAGATTTTTAGCAAAATATCCGTCATTTTGTTATTTTTGAATACTTTTTTAATTTTTCTACCAGATTTTTTAAAGGAATGAAATCTCTTTCATGTCAAAAAAGAAAAAATTAATTATCTTAATTAGAGAAAAGTAATAACACTTAAAAGATTTCGATTTGAAAAATTAAATTCGTTGTAAATTTAAAAAAAAATTTTTAAAATCCGTATCTTCTAAAAAGTTTTGAAAAACAACATTTTGGATATAAATTTGATTTTCAGCCGCGATGATGTTTAGCCTGCCTGTTTTGAAATTAATTTGGACATTACATACAGCAGTATTATTTTTATTACATTAAAAGATAAAAATCTTTGCAGGATTGGATGAAATATGGGAGTTTTAGGTTTATGGCGATTATTGGATCCAGCTGGGAAACCTACCGCAGTTGAAACTTTAGAAGGAAAAGTTCTAGCCATTGGTAATTTAAAACTTTTTTGCTTTAATAAAAATATGTTTTAAGGAGCTACGTAAACCTGACAGCACCTAAGCATCGGATCATGACGGGAACAATGTAGGGCTCATTTAATGCTACAAACAAAAATTTTTGGCTCTTTATTTTTTTAAAAAAATGCATGGTGCTGTCAGTTTTACTCAAACCTGGAAGCACCACAGCTAAAAACCCTTAAAAAAAGACGGAAAGCAAAATTCAATATCAGAAAAAATTTCGGCTTAATTAGGGCTCCAAGTTTCTAAAAAAAATTTCTTCTATACTCAAATTTAAAAAAAATAACACAAGGACAAAATTTTAACTTTCAAAACAAAATTTGAAATACTGTTAAAATACAATTATAAACATTTTTATTTGTTTTTATTTAAGGAAAAAGATAATGATATTAGATATAACAAAAACACAAAAATAAGTTATACTCTATTAAAAAAATTAACATTTCAACAATAAAAGGTTTACAGGTCCAGTCAAAGTTATTAATTAAAAACATTACCTCAGCAAGAAAAAGGGCAAAACATTTATTCATTTTTAATTGCACACCTGTATACACATTCGAATCTTTACAGAATATAAGCTTATACGCATGTTAGGTAAAATTCTTATATAAATTGAAAAAGGGATATTAAAAAATACAGACAGATTGAGTGGCGCGCGAGTGAGGAAGAGATACTCTGTTACAAAATGCGTCATTGGGCTTGCTGTCTTTCAAAATAGTAAGATCGCGTTCCAATTTTGTGTCTCGTACTGAGGCTGACGACTCGAACCTCCATCCTCAAAAGCGCCACTGTGGCGAATTCAAGGATCTCCACTCTGAGAAGTCATCTCCACCAACTTCTGAAAATCAACACAAAAATAAAGAAACCGATTCGAGTGTTAAAAAAACAAACAATATGGACCCTATTCGGAAATCACCTCCTCCTCAGTACGAAAATTCAAACAACAGACAGAACTGCCCTGTTTTCATTCAGAGAGACAAAAATTCACCAGATGCAGATAAGGACATCAACAGCATGGTTATTGGCAAACTATTGCATAACCTCTACCCCGGAAAAGTTGTTGAGATTAAATCAAGTGACCGCGGTAAAGTGAGAGTGGTTGTGAATTCGGGTAGAGCTACTAATAAGCTTGTGACGGACAGTACCCTAAAATCGAAAGGGCTCACTGTTGTTATACCCAACAGTTTTGTTTCGCATCAAGGTGTTATCACCGATTCCTCGCAGACCCCCGTTGACTAAATTCTTCAAAACATCGAAGCTTTAGGTCCACACGGAAAAGAAATTAAGGTTACGAATGCTATTCGTTTCAATCGCAAATCAACGGATGATCAAGGAAAAGTTACGTTCGTCCCATCCAACACAATTCTCTTGACTTTTTCAGGTACGATCCTTCCTTCACGAGTAGCTATCTACAAGAGCATTTTTGATGTCCGAACATATGTTCCAAATCCAAGAATATGTCTCAACTGCTACCGTTTTAGTTATATTGCCAAACAGTGCCGTTCCAAACCTTGATGAGCAAAGTGCGGCGATTCCTCGCCACATGATGACTCAAACATGTGCATCTAGCTGTGGTAATTGCGGAGGCACTCACAACCACGTCCGTGAAGCTGGCCGGAAACACGCATAGCTTCTATATTACTGCTCCAATTAACTTCTAAGTGGCAGAAACATTTAGGGCTCATTAAGCCCTTTAAGAATACTCTATATTATTAGCTGAAAAGTTTCAGTTTTTTAAAAAAAGTCGTGGTTCCGGCCTGCTTCACGTTGAAGCTGGCCGGAAACACACATAACTTCTACGGCACTGCTCCTATTAACTTCTAAGTGGTTAAAAAATTTAGGGCTCATTCAGGATTACTAAAAAAAATCCAATAATCATAACTTTTAAAGTAAGTTAGCCCCCGTCGATAAAATGTTTATTAATGCTATCTATTTAAACATTCATTTTTTCGACAATAATTTCAGAAAAGAAAAGATAATCGGAAAGAAATTGACATGACATTTAAAGAAATTAATGTTTCAATAGAAAATTGTAAATTTATTCAATTTTTAAATGTTAATTTGTATTCGATTGTATTTTTTTCTCGAAAAATGCCTAACTATTTACTCTATGAAAAATAATATTTTGGAGCAAAATTTTGTGTTAATTAGACTACCCTACCGAAAGAGTGGTACTGGATTGGTACTGGGAAATTGGAACTGAGGGCTCAGTACCAACTCAGTACTAATTTGGTGCATTTTGGTACTGAAATGGAACTGGGAAATTTACCTGCGAAAAGAGTCGAGTTACCGTTAATACCCTCATAAAAGTGAAAAGCGACTAGCTTTTTCAATATGTTTAAACTAAAACTTTATATTTATTTCAATATTATATTTGTTTTTCATGGATTTATATTATTTTCATACATTATTATGCATATGATATTTCCTTTGTCAGCTAAATTCAAAAATGATGTCCATTTTTTTATCAAACTTAAGGTATACGAGATAAATTATAACTTTTTTAAATGTAATTATTTTATGATAAATTTTAGATATTCATAATCTGGAAATATTAACGAATCTGAATATATATTTTTTAAAGTTGAGTTATTAAAATTACAAATTTTTTAAGCAATAAAACTCGGGTTAAAATTTTAATCCTTCAACAAAGGACCTAGGGGTCTATTGTTCAAGGAGGGATTACAATATAATTTCCAAACTTAACAGAAATTTTCTACAAACTATTATGTTTTTTTTTGCTGTTTTACACGTATTTCGCGAGAGACGGTTTGTTGATCTTATATACCTTTAAAACTATTGTTGAAATACTTTAAAAATGTCTTCTTATGGGTAATCAGGTAGTGGTACTGAAGTGGAACTCAAGCCAAGTCCAATTCAGTACCATTCCAGTACCACTCTTTCGGTAGGGCGGTACCAGTGTAAATACTGTGAATCAGTAAATATATAACCGTGTATATAACAGTGTAATTTGAAAACTATAGTGAAAAATAATAAACAGTAACAGTTTTTATGTTCATATTTTTATTTAAATTTAATTTTAAATTTAAAAGTTTATTGAAAATGGGTAGAGAAAAGCACCCAGTGCATAAATACTTTTCAAAAACAACCGTTGACGGGAAAAATGGCAAACAAAATATAAAAGCAACTTGCAATTTTTGCAAGTGGATTTCCGTTAACAATACCACAAGACTAATTAAACACATTCAATTGTGTTTGAAATGTTCTCAAGTTATTAAAAATACAATCAGTGGGGATAGATCAATCAATGATCGGGACGAAAATGAATCTACCACTGAAATTGAAAATGATACTGATGAAAATTCAAATTTATCTGCTCATTCAGTTGCAAAAAAATTTAAATTGCATGAAACAATGGAGACATACGTTACTCGGGACAAACATGTAACAGATATTCAACAAGTAAGTATTTATATGTATTTTTTTCGAAAATACGACTATTTTTGACTTATTTCTAAGAATTTCAATTGTAACTCTTCCAAAGTTTAATTATTATTTTTAATAATTGTAATATTTCTTTAAAAATTCTATAATTTAAAAAAGTTTCATCTTAATTATTTGTCGAAATTTTTTCTCATGACCATTAAAACTAAAAACTATGTGAAAAATTTAAATTCGAATTATTTGCTTAAATCAGAGTTTAATAAAATTTGTAAATAGAATTTTAAAATTTTGTTTTTAAATTTGTCCTACTTAATTACAATTTCGAAAATTTGTCTTAGTACTGTTTTGAAATAGTCAAAATAAATATTCTTGTTAATATTCTTGTAGAACTATTAGATATTTAAAGTAAAATATTTATTAACTAATTTAATTACATAAAGTTTTGATTTGTCGCAAATAAAATTGTAAAAATAAATTAATTTCTGTCTGTTTAGAAAGAATTAGTCACTTTGATGGCCAGAGCAGTTTATTGTTCCAGCACTCCTCTCTCGATTGTGGAAAACACATTTTGGATTCAGTTCTTTAATAAATTGAAACCATCTTTTACACTCCCATCTCGTTATGATCTGTCTAATAGTTTATTAGACTCAGAGTTTTCCCGTATTCAAAATACTATAGGAGAAAAAATTGCAGCTTCCTTGTCTTTGGCAATTCAAATGGTTGGCTGGTCCAATATTAGAAGACAAGGAATTATCAATGTAATTTTAAACACACCGGAACCCTTTTTTTACAAAACAATCCCTACTGGGGCTGAGCACCATACGGGAGACAATATTGCAGACATTATGTTTTCAATAATTGAAGAAGTTGTCCCTATAAAAATTACGGGATTAGTAACAGATAATGCTGCCTATATGAAGTTAGCTTGGAAAATCGTACAAGAAAGATATCCACACATTACGCCTTACGGGTGTCTACTACACGGATTACATCTGTTTTTCAAAGATATTTGTTCTCAAGCTGTCTTTGATGAAGTAAAAAATCATTGAACAAATATTGCCAGAGAAATAAAAAGTAGTCAAATTTTGTTAGCAGTTTTTAATGAAAAACAACAGCAGGTCAAAGAAGCGTCAAAAAGATCAGGTAATATATGTGCAATTAAATTTTTATTTTTAATTGTTAAATAAATTTATTATATTCATTATAATATTTATATTGATCGCCTAACTAATATATTCTTAAATTTTTTTATAATTTATATTTACACATACTAATAATATTTAATATAATTATTTAGGATCTACTATTCAACAATCTTCACTGCAACTACCAGGAAAGACAAGGTTCGGCAGTGTATTTTTTTGTATGAACAGTGTTCGAATAAACAGGTCTGCACTTCGTGAGCTCTGCGTAGATCACAGAGTTGAAACTATTTTAAGTGGAAATTTAAAACACTTGATTCTAAATACTAATTTGTGGGATGTTTTAAGTGAATGCGTTTCACTTTTAAAACCGATAATTTCCTGGCTTCACATTATCGAAAGCGATGATTCGAAAATGAGTTTATCATGTACAGTCTTCTTGAATATAAGAAGGCATGTTCAGGGGATGAGAAATTCAAATCTCTTAATGAATTATTACGCTAAAACCAATGAAATTTTAGAAGATAGGTGCGAATTTTGCATAAAGCCAATTCATTATTTAGCGAATTTGTTAGATCCCTCAAAACGTGGTGAAGATCTTATAGACCAGGAACTACTGGAAGCTTTCGAATGTTTGACAAGACTTTCAGAATTTTATTCGGAAAGTGAAGGTATTTCTGTAGAGGATGTGCTGACAGACTGCAATATGTTCAGATTAAAAGAAGGAATCTGGCAGAAAGATTCCTTAAATCTGACTATTAATAAAATGTCTCCATATATGTGGTGGAAATCTTGCTACGTTGGAAAATCGCTCAGAAAAATAGCATTAAAAGTTTTAAGTTTACCGCCCACGTCTGCAGCTTGTGAACGTACAAATAGTACTTACAAAAACGTACATAATAAGACTACAAATCGTCTCTCAACTGAAAGAGCAGGAAAAATTACATATATTAAACAAAATATGCTGGTAATTATCTTTGTTTTAATTAGTATAAAAATTCAAAAAATCTTAATAATTTTATTCTATTATTATTTTGTACCTGCAAATAATAATTTAAAATTTACTATCTTTACAGTTTTTAAATCCTAAAAATAAGCCTTCAAGAGTTCTTCCAAATTATCAAGAAGAAGAGTTAGTTGAAATAGAGCTGTCCGATAGCGAAATGGAAGCTCAATTCGTGGAGCAGATCGATGAGTTGGAAGAAGAGTAACATTAAAATGTTAACTTAGGCATACTAAAATATTTTACGACTGTTTTTGTTACTAAACTAAAATGCTTTTTTTGTTATTTAGTTTTCAACATTTAATTCAGAACTTGTTTTAAATTAAACATTTTATTTAAAGAACTAAATATTTTATTTAAGGAATACTAAGCTAAAATTGTTTAAGCTGTAATTTCTTTGTAATAAAAATTATCATTATAAATAAGGATTTATTATATTTGGTCTGGTTATATATTTATTTATTTATATATATATATATATATATATAAATAAATATATATATAGTATATTTATTTATTTGTATTTTTTATTTATGTATATATTCTATATTTAGTTTTTTTACTATATTTGATTTTATTATATACAATTTAAATATTCCCTACACTTTCTTTGAAACTTTGAAACGTTTCATGAAGCAGTGAAACTTTCATGAAACTTTCATTCAACGAAAATTTCATGAAACTTTACAACCCTAGTTCTCTCACAATCAAGACAAATTGAGAAGTATATAGGTACAGACAACTTTGAGATAAAAATATTACTAATTTTTCTTGTGTTCCTGCAGGTAGGTGGATATTAATAGTCTAAACATAAAAATCAGTTCTTTTCAGAGCTTTTCTTTTTCTTTCTTTCTTAGTTTCTTATTCTGTCCTATTCTCAGGTATTTTGAATTGTTGTTTTTTTGCAAACCTGCGAATCCAAGCAATTTTTTAAAAAATTCCGCCATATTGGACCTGCCATTTTAGATTTTGAACAACTAACATCGGATTCGTAATCAGCGACTCCGAAAACTCCCGGGTACTAATTTTTAAGCAAATCAAAGCAATTTTTAAAAAATATTCCGCCATATTGGAACCGCCATTTTGAATTTTAAAAAAATAACATCAAATTCATAATCAGCGACCATAGACATATAGAAATGGACCGCTCACCACTGTGGAGAGAATTGAAGGAATCGGTGGACCCATGGTTGAATTTTGTAAATGTAGAAAAAGAAATATGGAATTTTTTCGGTGAAAAGTAATTTTATAAAAAGAAATTTAAATAGGTACAAATTGTGGGGATTCGCCTTTAGGTTTTCCCCTCGCTCTCCTCTCCGCACTCTCCGAATCGAGATTCCTACTTCATCGTAGATTTTAGTCAGAAACGACTTTGCCGTTGAGTTGTGAAGACGAGTTGTGTGTGACGTGTGAGGGGTGTCATGGCGTTCTCCATGCCAATTATATTTTAATACTAATAAAGTGGATTATTCTTATTCCTGGCCTAATTTATTCGATCGCCTACGCACTTCTGAGAGTCAACTAATTTCTTGATAGTTGGACTATTGCCGCTGGCAAAAATAACCACATTGGTGACCCCGAATCCGAGCATGGCTGTTATCGACCACGAGGCAGGAAAAATATCCAACATCATCAATTACATCATCGATGTTTCGCATTTATGAACATCAAAATTAATACTACAAAAATTTTGGTACAATTTTACACCAAAAGTTCTGCAATTTTTCACAAATTCACCACCTCATGATGAACATAACCTACAAATCAATTTCGCACAAGTAAGCACACCGTCCTCATTCCCTGGTTGAGCAAAATTCCAGGAGGCTCAACAAAATTTATTCATTGTTTTCTCGGAGCCTATCGAGAAAACAATAAAATCAATCAACTGGACTTCGTTGGAGCAGCACCAGAAGTGAATTCTGGCACGGCACATGTTTGAGTCCCAGGTGCAGGGCCCATTTCCGGAGCAACAGGGAGGACCTGACATGGGCAAGGAGTACCCATGATGTTCTGTATCCAGTACGAGACTAATTCCCTACAAAAGTTGTGAGATTTTATCTTTTATCATTCTGGAGCCGTCAACGCAAATTCCAACAACATGAATCATCGAGAAAAAATGCCAACACCAGGATCAACGAGCAGAGCAACGGCGGCGTTTCCATAAAACTTTTTGTAATAAGGTACCGTTTCACAAAATTTCAATCTAAAATTTCTTTTTAACTTATTTTGCAAATTCTAAATTTTCTTTTCGGACAATAATAATCGCGGTAAAGTTAACATTTTAAAAATTTTTGTTTTTTCCAATTCATATTTCTTTGATAAAATAAAAAACGTAATAAATTTCATTTCCAAATTAAAAATTTTAAAACCTTCAATAAACAGAGTAAAAATTAATTTTGAATTTAACAAAAAAATTTATAATTGTGAATTATTTCAATGTATATGTATATGTATATGATGTGTGAGTAGGAGAATAACGCCAGCGTGACCATGATCGGAAATTGTCATTATACATATTCTTTCTTTTATCATAATAGTTAAAATAATCAATCAAACAAAATTTCAATTTAAAAAATTTAATATAATAAAAAATGTTCTCAATTTCAAAATTTTACTAAAATTATTTTAAATGAAAGGAAATTAGATTCCAGATTTTTCTTGGTTTTAAAATGTATGTAATCTTTTGATTTGAAATTACTAACGAGGGTGTACACATTTTTCGATTTCTAAATTATATATTTAGCATGACAAACAGTGACACGTAGATCATACTCGTTAAGTGGTTGTTATCAAACATAAGATTATTCATTACGTTTACATTAACTTCGAAACTAATTGCTTTCATAATAATTTCTATATATATTTCTAATTATTTTTCGGTCTTATTGAAATTTCATTTCCATTTGATTCTCTTTAAATAATTAATCCCCATATATTTCAAGGAGAATTATAATTGACAATGATAATCGAAATAATGATAATGAAAATAATAAATAATCAAAATAATAAATAAATACGAAAATAATATTTGAATAATAAATTTCTCATTCATTTCTCAAATAAATAATCAAAATAATAAATAAATACGAAAATAATATTTGAATAATAAATTTCTCATTCTTATTTTAATGACATAAAAATTTTCGATTATTGGTCGCGCAACTTAAAACAATATTTTATCTAATTTATAAAAAAATTACCCGATACTATTGTGTCACCATATATGTATACCGAGTGATTAAAGTGGAATTTGCCATTTATCGAAATGGTTTTGAAGATAAAAAGGTGAAATTCAATATTAATTTGGCATTATGCGGTGACATTATAAAAAACAAAATTACAATTTCTATTCTATTTATTAATAATTTATCAAAATAGTGATCATTCCGGCAATTTGGTGAGGTTTTATAATCGAATTTACTAATGACTTCGTAAATTGTTTTGCTTTTGATTCCTTGCGCAGACTCGGGGGTTTATACCTACATTTTATTAAATAATTTATTTATTTCTTTTCTTTTTAAATAATTCGAATATTAAAAATAATAAAATTTAAATAGGTACTACAATTAAATTTAATTTAAATAAAATGGTAATTACAAGAGAGAAAAGTCGAAATACCCCTGCACCAAACCCCGTACCAGGTCCCGCACGGAACCCTCCACCAAACGCAATCAGAATGGATCCTTTAGGAGCACCCAATCCTGATCAACAAAATAGAATGGAGGCTATTAACGATCGCGAACGGGAACTCAATCAAAGAATTGAGGAACTTAATCGACGCGAACGCGAATTCGAGAATCGTGTTAATCAACAACCTAATCGGGTTCAGCAAAATTTGATTAATGATCCAGTTAATGAGTTAAATAGACAATATGTGCCGGTAAATAGTAATACAATTAAATTACCAAAATTTTGCGAAAGTGATCCCGAATTATGGTTCACACAAATAGAATCGATTTTCGAAAGATTGCGAATCGTTACCGAAGAGGCAAAGTCTCAGATCGTTTTGTCCCAAGTAGATGCCGATATACTGAATTGCGTCAGACACTTAGTTATGATTAGTCCTAGACCACATAATTGCTACACTCAAATAAAAAGAGGTTTAATTTCTCACTTTGCGGTTTCAGACGAGACACGCGTTTTTCAATTAATACACGGCGATGTCACTAATGATGGGAAACCTTCTCAAATGCTTAATCGACTACGAAGTCTGAACGTCGGTAATTGTAACGACGATGTCCTAAAAACAATATTTTTAGCTAAACTACCCCATCAGCATCAATTGTCGCTCTCAACTTGTAGCAGGATAACATTAAATGAATTAGCTTCTCGAGCTGACAAGATGGCTGAAGTAGATAGGATTGCCACAGCTTCTAATGCTCTTGTTTCAAACGAAACACCTAAACCTGAAAAAGAAGATAAATTGGAAGTCCTTGCTACGGAATTAGCAAATTTAAAATCAAAAGTTGAGGAATCAAATAGTCGAAAGTCGCGTGATCCTCACCGACGCGAAGGCGGAAATCCTTATCGCGGAAGGGGCAGAAGTCGACCTTTTGGACGTGGTAATAATAATAATAATTATAGAGGACGTGGTCGTGGTAGAAGTAATTATCGTAGCAATAGTTACGGTAGAGGCTACTATTCACATAATAATCAATACCAACCTAACCCTTTTAATAACCGATTTCGAAGCTCCAGTCCATATCATCGTAACTCTTACAATGATCGCAATCAACATCGTTCTCCAGAACCATGTTGTTCCAGACAACAAAATTCTTGTTGCAATCAAAGTCAATCGGGAAAATAAAATGCCGTCACTGTATAGAGACGAACTTTGTCGGCCTCCCCTCTCGTCGTCTCCACATTCGTGATCGCACGTCGAGAAATTTATATCTAATCGATACGGGATCTGATATATCAATTCTTCCTGCAAAATATTTGCGAGGTCGCAAGCAATCTGAGACTTTTCTATACGCGGCAAATAACACAAAAATAACAACATTTGGTGAGGAAAGAATTAAATTAAATTTTGGACTTAAAAAAAATTTTTCTTGGGTTTTCTGTGTTGCCGATGTCCCTCGTCCAATTATTGGCGCGGACTTTCTTTCGCATTATGGGCTTATAGTTGATTTAAAGAATCGTAGACTCGTGGACTCTACATCGGATTTGAGTATCAAGGGTGAATGGGGATTTTCTTCTCTGGTAGATTTGAGTTTGGTTGACAAAACTGATCCTTATAGTAAAATTTTGTCAGAATTTCCAGAATTAACTCGATTAGAACAAAATTTTACAGTCCCAAATTCTGA